TCACTCGACCAGTGGTGTTTGAGTAGAGAGCTTGTATGAGGTTAATGTACTTCTTTGGTACACCTTTCAATGACAGACACTGCCACAGAACCTTACGATCAACAGAGTCAAATGCCGCCTTAAGGTCCAGGAAATTAACTATTGTAGGACGCCTAAATGTGTGTCTATGTTCCAGGACCTGTCTGAGTGTGAAAATGTGGTCTATACAACCACGTCCAGGTCGAAAACCAGACTGGTTTTCTCGAGTCTGCTCTTCACGAGCTTTCGTTAAGCGTCGAAGTATTATTGAGGCCAATATTTTAGATACTATATTAGTCAGACTTATTCCTCTGTGATTGTCACAAGACTTTTGTCCTTTCTTATAAATTGGGACAGTCAGTGATTGAGACCAGTCGGATGGGATTGCGTCCAGTTACCAGATTCTACCTAAGATCTCAGTCAACCTAGCTGCTAAAACTGGACCACCATCCTTAAATATCTCAGGGGTCAGTCTATCAGGACCCGCAGCTCGTCCTCGTTTCAGATATACTAACGCTTTCTCAACGTCATTAAGACTAGGGGGAGTTAGGTCGATTAGCCATTCAGGATGACTGGAGATCGTGGGTAACCGAAGAGTGGCTCGTGGCCAATTGAACTGATCCCTAAAGTGTTCTGCCCATCGATCCAGTCTCCTGGATTGAGAATGGATAATAAGACCATCCTTTTCCGAGATAGTTTCACTCACATTCGGGTTCTTAATACCAGTTTCTTTAATAAGACGGAAAAGTTGTCTAGTGTTGCCGATCGCCGCTGCCTTTTCCATCGCTTTTGCTTTCGCCACCCACCACTGTTCGCGGTCGTTACGCAGTCTTTTTATAAGTCTGCGCCTAAGCTGACTACGCTCTTCATCATGCTCAGAGTCAGGTGGGATGCGTTTTCGAGCATCCATCAGTTCGGTGGATGCGACTGAAATCCACGGCTTCATCCTAGCCTCATGGTTTACCTTCCTAGCAGATATCACTGCTGTTTCCACAGCCTTTTTGATATCATACCAACCTGCTTCTGGATGGGAATCGCTTGCATGGTTGCTTAACTCTCTTTCTAGTTGCTCCTGAAATATTTTCTTGGCTTGATTATCATTAAGTAAAACCCTAAGAGGCTTTCTTACGGTGTCTTTCCTACGTCCAGTAAGCCTTAAACAGATACGAGCTCGCACTAGAGCATGATCTGAATCTAAACATGTGCTCCAGAACGAGCGACAGTCTTCTATCGAACCCCTCCATCGGTGGCTGATGGCGATGTGATCTAGTTGAGTCCAACGTTGAGACGACTTCGGGGGTCGCCAGGTCAACAGATGCTTTTCCCTATGCCTAAAGTTGGTGTTCGCTAAGAATAGGCGGTTATCTGAGCACAGTTGCAACAGACGGTCGCCATTGTCTGTTCTCTCAGTCGCTACACCATAACATCCACCTAGATGTCTTTCATTTTCACTCAGTCTACCTACTTGAGCATTAAAGTCACCAGCCATTATTACTATATCAGAGCGCCTAGCTTTTTCGAGGAGGTCCGAAAGCTTTCTGTAAAACTCATCTTTAACCTCGTCTGCACTGCAGTCAGTGGGGGCATAGGCAGATATGACGAAGAGGCAACGGCGAGTGTCCCTATCTTTCCGAGTCCTTACTGTCCCGTTTAGTCGGACAGCGCACAAACGACTATCTACTGGGATCCAGTCTAGGAGAGATAATTCTGCCCTAGGACTCAACGCTATGCCTACGCCAGCAAGACCCCTGGAAGCAGCATCAGGGCTACCGGATACACGAAGAGTAAATCGAGCTGCTTCTTCGTTTTGACAAGGTGAAATCAGGTTAATGACTTTACTAGGATCCTGTATGCGCGTTTCCGAGACGCAGCACACATCGATGGCACGAGATTCTAAGGTCCTAGCTAATGATGCCTGTTGCCCTATTTGACACAATGTCCGTACATTAAAAGCTCCAATATGTAGTCTAGAACGGGGTTTCAAGAGACCAGGAACGACGTTTCGTGATTTCGCTTCGTCTGCATTAGCGGTGCAGTGAGAAAAGGGAGTGTGAGTACAGTTAGTCGTAGAGGTAGGAGAGACATTAGGGGGTGTAGGAAGGATTTGATTTTGACCAATTTGGTCTCGCGTGCTGTTACGGGTATGAGGGCGGTTGTCACTTCCCGGCTGCCCACACCGTGGAAGGTTGTTTCTTGACGAACCTGAAAAGGAAGATGGATTAGTGTTGGTGCGTGACCGCAGAGTCCAAGGGACAACTGCTTGAGGCCGGTCACGCACGGCCTTTTGATGAGAGGTATTTAGAGGATTAGCTCCGTTCTTAAAGGCCCTTAGTGGGCACCCTTACCCAGGGAGACGGAAATCCGTGAGTTAGGGGGAGTGTGACATTTTTAGGGCCGACCTTTTCTAACCCTTCCTTCCTTGTGAGAAGGCAGCATCGCTGCAGATGCTGGTTGCCGAGGGAAACACCTTACTGCTGTCACACCCCTCTGCAGTCAGCAGTACGACTTCGCCCTCAGACCTTGGGTAGCTGCTTTTAGTCTCATCGTTCTCCAATCGACCAGCCTGGCATGGTAGGACCTGCAGGAACATATGTTCCAGCCAGTATAGCTCGGTTGGGTCATCACGATAGGCAAGCCCGACCACCACGTCAAGGTAGCAGCTTCGGTCGGGGCTCTCCTATGGGTGTTGCTGTCATTGTATAAATAAGCCTGATTCATGTTCTGGATGCTTGTAGAATACATTCTCCACGCCTTATCAAGACTTCTTGATCTAGTTAGAGGAGCCTGGAACAATCAGATTAGAATAGCCTATCGTGTCACTGCATCATTTATCTGCTCTCTCCGTTTATCGAGTAAGGTGAACTCGTTATATCATTCAAGCATATCAATTGACGAGCATATCATTGATGTAACAACCTTTCATCAAATCACCATGCTGTAACATTAACTAAAAAGTGTGGAATAGTGCAATTCTTCTTTTGTTGTTTGCTTGTGTGTGTTTGGTCTATTTAAACAAAACTAAAACACATCTGTTGGTGCTTTACAATTGAGAAAATAAAAACCAATAAAAAGTGTGTATGAAGTAAAAGCAAAAATTTTTTCTCTCTCTCTCTCTCTGTACCTTTTTATAATTAGTTACTATATTTTTTTTCACATGAAATTGTAGATAATTAACTAATTAGTTTTTTTTTATGATGATAATTTTTATGCATTTTCAAATAATCATTTATTATTCAAGATTTATGCCTTAGTTTTTTATCCAGTCAAGATTGAAAAGAAAATTAGAAAATATTGTATAGTTATTTTATTCTTGTATGTATAGAATATTCACAAATCCCCTAAACATAACATATCATGAGTGTATACGTTCACTAGTGAGATGGTGAATGTTGGGGATGTTAGATCCCCAAAATTCGCTTGATAAATGCTTTATTTTGGTTTTCACGTTTGCCAGCATGGGCTGATCAGTTGACCTTGAGATTTCAAATCCCACCAGGAAAATCCATGGCTGTGATTGGCTGCTGTGTATTTTTGTGTGCTATTTTGGTAACTGTCCCAAGGACGTTTCTATGTTGTATAAATAAACGAGAGTTGCATGCTTGATTGTACTGTGATTGCTGGGTGTTTGTAGAATATACTTTCTACGCTTACAAAACCTTTTTACTTCAGCCTGGGGATTCAAAGTAGCCTACCTGGACGCTGGTAAAAGTCTCGTTCGCGTTTATCGACTAAGGTAAACTCGTAATAGCTTCAAGCATACTTAGTGACGAACCCTACAGTGAATAAAATTTATAGCCCAGATGAATGATTATGATGGAGTTTCATTCTCTGAGTTGGATGTTTTGGTTTGTACAGCATTCATTATTCTTTATCTGAACAAACCTCATCAACAGCACAAACTTCAGACGTATTCGAATTTCTCTCCATAACTACCGATACTGAGTAAAAATTCGTAACTAACTGGAATAAAAAGATTGCATTTGATTGACCATGTTATGCATATCAAATTCCTCTTCGTGTTGATCAAATTCTATCGATTGAATAACATCCCTGACTATGAAGCTAGCAGCTGGTTTTGCGGTTCACTATATTGGACTTCAATGTGGACGAATGATCGAGTATGCAATGAAATAAATTTTCCTTTCCACTTCCGTATTTTATACTTCGGCTAACTCCATTTGTTCGACGGCGGTAATAAGAAGCTAAATACAGTATTCCGGATGAATTTATTTCATGCATTCATTTATGCAGACAAACGTGAGAATAGGATGCGTACAAGCAAAACGAAGCGAATTGGAAAAGGCGAACGAGCCAACTAACTCTCCATGAGCTAAAGAAGGGCTAAGTATTTATAGTCAAGCAATAATAGGCTAGACATGTAATGAGTAATACAGCATCCACACACAATCAAATATACAATAATTGATACTGTAATTGAATTATTACAAATACAGAATTATGGTCGATAATTTAAACGACAAATTCATTGAAATACAATAAATGAATGAATGATGAGATGCTTCATTGGCTGCTGATACATGTTTTTTTAATTCCGTAAGAATCCTCAATTCCTCCTTAATGAGACAAGTCGAGTTAAATAGCACAAAAATCTAGGTTATTTAAAATTCCCTGTCGTCTACCTCCAACTACTATTATCTGATATAAACATATTTTTTTTTATAAAGCAAATGTTACATTTATGTCCAATCATTGATATCGATCATTGACATTGCATATTTTTTTTAATGTATATTACTTTGATTAATGAGTTTGTTTGTTTTTTCTATTCTTGTATTATAAATTCCTAAATTTTTTTTAATTCATGAGAATGTTTTTATTTTTCTATTTAAATGTCACTGAAATATTTTCTCTGTTTTTTTTTGAAGTGTGCAACTTCTTCGTCTGTGTTCTTCTCTTTTTTTTTCGCTCTCTCTCTCGAATATTATTGTCGCTATTGTTTTGTTTTTTATTATTTTAAATAGATATTTCATTACCAGTATTTTGGCGTCCAACTGATATTTTTAATATGATGAATAGAAAACCATTGATGAAAGTTGAAGGACCTCGAATTTACATTGTAAATGTTGCTTTAGTACTTGATTATCATTTAGTAAGTTATTGGTGTTACATACAATCCAATTAGGTTGTTTTTTTTAATTTGTATTTTGTTTAATTAAATTGACATTTCTTATGTATGAGAATGTTGTTGATTGGTATTACAATAGACTGGATTATATGTATAGCTAGATTTTCTGTCTCCAGTGGTGAGGCCATTTGAAGAGCGGAGCTCATATGTTGAAAATTTCTCACAAAAAGGCCGCACTTGATCGGCCTCAAGCAGTTGCCCCTTGGGCTTTGTGGTCACGCTCCCAGATCTTTAAGACTATCACTACTTCGACTTCCTTTTCAGGTTCCTCAAGAAACACTCTTGTGTGGTGTGAGCAGCCAGGAAGTGACACCCACCCTGATACGCGTAGCTGCACATGAGATTAAACTAGGTTACAATATATGTTGTTATTGTCATCTGAGATATCGTACTCTATTGGCTTCTACAGCTTTATTATGTTACATTTAAACCGGGTATTATATGATTAGTGAAAACAGTCATCCAGAAACTATACTCTACTGTTGAGTTAATTATGATTGAACAAAAAAACTAAGCTCCTGATTCCACATAACCTTAAATATCGCATCAGCGACTCTTATCATATCTTATTGTAGTCTATCAATTCCCTTATTTATGTAGAGGGACACACACATACATCAAGGGAAGTAACTAACGCAGTGTAATCAATGGTTATCAAATAGTCCGTTAATACCAAGTATTCTGATAAATATCGGAGTATCATTTTCACCTGAAACAGGTTGTAGAATTGAGCTTAACATATCTTTTAAAGCATTGTGTAGAGATGATAATGAAATCGATTTCAAATTTCATTAGAAACCCCTTAGTCATTAGCGAAAATCAAATCTCTTTTATATGCATTGAAACAATCTTAAATCGATGCTGGTAATCTTCAGTCCATTTGAAAACTTGAGGTGTTATCCCAACTTCTCACACTTTCTCTCTCTCTTGCTCTCTAATTTAATTTTCAATGACCAGTTTATGTAGTCTATGAATACCTTGATAAGGACATACATAACTACATTGCGTAGATGATATAGTATTTTTGCAGATTAATTCCATCTTCTCATTGATATAATGAAATCAATATTTACGACAAAATAGTTAATATCAAATAATAGACAATAGTGAGAAATTTATCATCAGTTCATTATAATGGATGTGGCTGCTTTCAACCAGCCAATAAAATGCGATCAAGGAAATAACTTTAAATCAATTGATTCGGTAACAACGTAAGACTTCGAATGTATACACTATTTTTCAATCAGAGTTATGGAAATTAATGTTTTTTACACATTGAAATCATCAATCAATCATTGTTAGACCAACATTAGAAACCTGGAATCATTGGACGGCCGTTTCGTCCTAGTATGGGACTAATCAGCAATGCGTGTCCACGACTCATGTACTTCGCACGATTCGAACCCCTAACCTCTAGACCAGTGGGCCAGCATCCAACGGTATTAGTGTCTAACTCTGATCAATCTACAGATTTTGCTCGACCTCATCCACTCATGATTGATGTACAACTGTTTCGCCTCACTTATAATATTTAATACTGAATTTGTAATGATACTAATCAATTTGCATTGTTAACCACCATGAAGTGGTAGAATTACAGTCTTGTAAAAACTACAATTAAACTTTCACAGATTCATCCATAGACCATTATTGTTCATGTATATACCTACATACATACATACATACACGTACACATACACATGGAGCGGAGGAGGGGGACTGGAATACAGCAGTTGTTTATCATCGTTAATTAGTACCATTGATCCATGTAGAATTGAATTTTCCCTGGTTAAATGCTACCTTGAAAAAAAATCCTATCTAAATGAATTGAATGTTTAAATGAGTTTCATTTTTTTTTTAAATGAATAAACAGACAAACAAATAATCATCGTATATGTGTATATTCTTGTGCGTGCGTGTGTGTGTATGTGTGGAATAATTTGTTTACAAAAAGACAAAATGGTAAATAGTATTCGAAATTTTTTTTTCTTAATTAAAAATAATGAAATTTTTTTAGTTCTTATTGTTTTCTTTTTACACATTTATTTATTTCCATTATTCTGCTCTTTTTTTTTTGTTCTTCCTCACAGTTTTCATCATTTGGCCATAATTTGGAACGTGGTATTCACTATTTAAGCAGTATATTAAATCAAGTAACTAAGGTGAGAGTGAGAGTGTACATATGAGTTTGTGTGTGTATGTGTGCGTGCGTATTCTTGTAGTTGGAAATGATTACAAAATAAAATGTACTAATTATGTATCAGACCGGTTATAATTAATCCTAGGGTACCGTTGAAAATTAGGGAACAATGAACAACTGTTCTGTTGTGTTCTGTTCTGTTCTGTTTTGTACTGTACTGTTCTATTGAAAAAAATTCTTCTTCATACATTCTCATAAGCTCTCGAACCTACAGCACTTTCACAGGTCTCAAGGTACAGACTCATGTTTTTCTTTTTTCATTTCATCTCAATTGAATAAATTGTTATCCAAGTTCGTAATTTTTTTTCGTTACCTTAAATTTCATCATATACACATTGAATGAAAACAAATAAATTAATTTGATGCATTCTTTCACTTTTCTTCATCAAATCATTAATTGATACCTTTAGTTTAACTTTTAACATTTAAAAATAAAACTAATTGATAAAAATTTTCATTTAAATTTTTTTGATTTGTTTATTTTTTTTTCATTGCTTATCCCTTTCTCTCTATCGACTTCTCTCTCACTGTGTATGTGTGTGTGTTACTTCATATGTGTATTGAATGATTGTTTCAACCAATAAGCGGAATGTCTTTTTTTTACCATGTCAATAACTCAAACAATGGTTCATCATCAGTTTACTAATCGAATTGTTCATCCTGTTCAAAATTTTTGTCCCATTTGTTGATGATGATGATGATTAGTACAGAAAATTGAATTAATAGGCAAGATTGTTTTTTGTTTTGTTTTGTTCTGAATTTTGATAAACAGAGCTAATCAGTTGCATGAATTTTGTTTATTTGTATACATGGTTTTGATTTCTTTTGGTAAATTTAAATAATTATATATATGTATATACATGCGTGTTAGGAGCGTTGATTAGAGTTAGGATTAAAGAAAGATACAAATCAGCAACAAGACGGAGAAGACAGCGTGAAATTCAGAAAGAGAAAAGAACAGGTATTGACATCTGATGATTCAATAAACACATTGAATGTATTTACAAGTAATCATACAAGCAGTTGACAAAATTATCAATAAAAATAAGCGGAAGATTGAGAAGATCTAATCATTGAAATTTGAAAATTGATAGAGTGTAAAGTTCCAAATACGTTATACATAATCTAGTCTGTTGTTACATTCGTCACTAGGTACACTTGAAACTATTACGGAGGTTCACCTTAGTCGATAAACCCGATCGAGACAATGAACCAGCGTTCAGGTAGGCGGCTACCTTGATCTGAAATGGCTAAAGAGAAGTCTTGATTTAGCGTAGAAAGTATTAATTTTGTTTATTTGTATACATGGTTTTAATTTCTTTTGGGAAATTTAAATAACTATATGTATATACATGCATGCTAAGATTGTTCGTTAGGGTTAGGATTGAAGATTCATGCGAAACAACAACAACAAGAAGGAGAAGACAGCGTGAAATTCAGAAAGAGAAAAGAACAGGCATTGACATCTGATGATTCAATAAGCACATTGAATGTATTTACAAGGAGTTGACTAAATTACCAATAAAAATAAGCGGAAGATTGAGAAGATCTAATCATTGAAACTTGAAAATTGATAGAGTGTAATGTTCCAAATACGTTATACATGATCTAGTATATCGTTACATTGTAAACAAAAGTAGATAAAACTTATCTATAAATCATCTTGCATAGAATAGTTAGGAGACGTCTCGGTAGCGGTTATGTGCATGTCCACCCATGATTAGTGTTACATATTCAAGTTTTGCAGTAAGCGCTTGAACTTTGGAAAAATTTTCCATCTTAACTTTATTATATCACTTATAGTGATTGAAACTGGACAATGTACACCATTTGATGTCATCTCAATCATCTAGCTAGCGATGAAAGAAGACCATGGGTTTATTATATTCTATGGTTGTGAACTATTAATGAGTCCCCTATCATCTGGTTTTCTGTAGTGACTTAATTAAGATCAAGACTATGATCTAAACCATGAATATTCAACAGTCTATACAAAATGCAATATATTTATTTGGGGTTGGATGTTTTTTTTCTCTCTAATATGGGTGTGTTTTGTATTTTTTTTTCTCTAATGAATAATACACTATCTCCTTACACATTATGGATAATGAATTAATTTGACCTGTGTTGTTTGCTTACTAGATGATTATATGTATGTGTGTGTGTGTACACTATCTAGCAACATTTATGCATGACTAAGGCAATACACCTACTGTTGCTGACCTTATACAGCTTTCTGTTATTAAACAGCATTTTACTGATTATACATATATACAGTCTATGTAGTTGTACTGAGAATAGATTATTAATATGAGTCATTATACTCGTACATCGGTGCCACCCTGTAGCAGCAGTACATCTGGCAGTTATGATGATTTATATATTTATTTATTCATCGTACATATGAAAAAAAACTATGTATGTTAGATCCTCACCCACCCACACACACACCCACACAGAGAGACGTATGTTGCTACGACTGTAATCATCATATGAGACTGCACACACATTGCAAAATGTAGCACTGATTTCTATTCCCTTATGATACAGATAGATACAATGATGTATGTTTCATACATTTACTGTCTATCTGTCTGTCTGTTTGTCTCTGTTTTTGATTTTGATTTTTGTAAATACAAGGAAATACTGAAATTTATAGCACCCATATGTGTTGTAGTTGTTGTTGTGTAGTTGCTTACATTTAAGATGGGAAAAAAATAAAATTCATAAACAAGTGTAGTTTGTATTCATTTTTCAATTGGAATTTTTTTTGTTGTTCATGTTTACCAGCTTAACTACAAAAACCTCAAAGAATTTTTATTTTTACATGTGTTTATTTAGACATGGATTTTTATTGTAGTAGTAGTTTTCCTCATTTATTTATAAACATTTAACAGATGTATGACTCATGATTATTATTATTATTACTGGGTAATAATGTACAATGTTACCTGAACTTAACTAATTTACAAAGGATTTTCCTCGTTTATGGTATGAACTTTGATGAAAAGTTGATGTACTATTAAAAATTAAGAAATATTTCAAAACGAACAACTCACTGGTTTGACTTTCAGCTATGAAATTACAGTAGTCAAGCTTTGACAACCGATTGATTCTCATAATTGGGAAAGCCAATTAAACAAATCTGTATCTGGGACATGAGTTGATAATACACATGATTTGGTTATAACTTCAGAACTTCTTGAAACTCTACTAGGGATGAAGCTTTCAGGCTTCACGATGAAAGTGTTAATTTTAGATCAGTCAGTTGAAATCTGTATATACATTGTTGTGTGCCGATTTCGAGGTGTTCTTACGTTTCGTAATTAGCTCGTTCAGACTGTCGTTCCTTAATGACGTCTGACAGTTAACAAATCAGAAGATGAATTCGAAGTATCGTATACCTTTATTGTGGCACACTACAAATAAGGATAGAAGACCACAGATAGACCGGGCAGACACACTAGCGAGCGAATATGCGGATGGGCGAATGAATTAATAAGATTAAAATGTTTGTATATATACAAAGGAAAATGTCTGAGTCATCGTGGCATTTAAGAGATTAATATTAAAGCGAATAGGGTGCATATGCGCGTAGGCGTTAAGCAATGCTCAGTCATACCAGCTCATACAAACCATTCAATTATAAAAGCTAATGGTACATACAAGTTGTTGCTAAGCGGATGGCTTGGTTAAAGAAATTACTCGAAAGGGCTTAAGCAAATTAAATGTAAGCGGATGCAAATAAATGTGGAGGCACTACAACATTTAAATTATTGTCAAACCATGATACATTATTGTATGTTCATTATTCTTATCGGTGATGATTGCCTCTCATACTTGTTGACTTAGTGAGACCACACAGATAATAATCTCTAAGATGGGCCTTTGAGAATTCTTAGTTTTTGTTGAGGAATAGTGAACAGATGAAAATAACGTCGCGTAACACACATATTATTCTAACTATATTTCACAAAGTGATCAGCTGACTGGTTGTTTATTTATTCATAATCTTTCTTCTCTCTCTCGATATATACATATATATATGTGAGTTATTAATTGTATTGAATAGCAAAAACAAGCCACAAAAAAGATACCTGACAAAACTGAACAGACAATATCATAAAACAATGTTGTCTACATTCTTATTACAAGTAGTAACTCATATAGTTTTCACAATTTCGTTAAATTACCCGACAAAGTATTGTTATTATTATTATTATCAATATCACTAAGTGTATCATAATTTATCATTGTAAACAATTATTTTGTAAATATGATTGTCATCTATACAACAAATTCTAATATTAAGTAGCCTGACGAGAATAATTCTATTCCCTATCGCCACCTTCACCTGTACAAACACATTCTTTTTTCCTTTCATTCTTGTCTCAATCGAATATTTTTCCTAATTTATATATATTTATTCTATATTACATAACTTTTGATCGATTCACTTTTATTCTATTGGCATATATTATCTACTGATAAGAAATGTTAAGAATAAGTTGATTTGTGATCATTTGGCAGCATAGAGAGAGAGATGAAAGAATTGAACTGACAATTTGATAAGTGCACAGTATAATAGGTATTTACACGTTTTTTTAATCATGAAAACAATCACAAACACAGTGGACAATCACATACAAACACAAGATAGGAATAATTTATTTAATAATGTTAGCTTTTGAAATGTGTTACATTTCCTACAATCGGATCAATCACTTCAATAGTTATTGAGTTGATTTACCTAGTTCGTAGTACCTTATGTGCCTTACGTTGGAACAGTTCATTCGATGGGCTTAAAATACACGCGCGAGTGATAGTTTTTCAAAATGTTTATAGTCTTAACACTAGTAACCGGAGAATACTTTCTCTTCTTGTTAGGAAACGAGTTCTAGGTAGGGATGTCAGATCAATTGATGAAATAATGAAACTTCATCAATTGAGGTGGTTGGGACATGTGTTACGTATGGCTAACCACCGACTGCCGCGACGAGCTATGTTTTGTAGTGTAGGAGTAGGTTGGAAGAAAGTTAGGGGCGGCCAAACCAAAACATGGCAGAAATCCATGAAGTCACTGACAAGTGGACTGAGTCATGTCGGTAGGTGTCGACTACCTGGTTGGGGTCCGCGAGACGAAAGTCACCGATAGTTAGAGACCTTGAAGGACATGGCTCAGAATCGTTTGCGATGGCGCAGGTGGATTTACTCTTTATGTTCTCGCTAATTCTAACCTTCTGAATTCCTCATAATCTCTATCTTTCTAACTACTGAATTATACTTCTCGAATCATATCTTCGCTCCCTAATCTTCTCCATTACTGCTAATACTTCTACTATCGTTACCATTATTGGATTTGAACTGACAGTTACGTCTCTGTGCTGATGTGGTATGGCAACCTGAACTGATGTACTTACGTACCAAGTTCTGAGTTGTATCTGTCTGTCTGTCTGTCTGTCATGTTAGTTGAATGAGTTTTCCCCCAATAACTAGTGATCTTAATCTAACATCATCGTTGAATAATAGTACTTATTTTTTTGTCATCTTTTCTATTCTCAATTTTTAGTCATTTCAAAATGTTCCAATTGAATTACAATTGATTCAATCAGAAATATGGAGTTTACAAGATTTAATACAATCCAATGTTAGCATTAAAACAACATTGAATCATTTTGCTCATTTAATGATAAGTCGTCGTAAAAAGTTTTATTCAACCACATCATCGTCGTCGTCGTCGGCGTTTATCAAAAATGCTGTTATGAATAAAACTGATGTACTAATAAATCATTCTTCTATTGGAAATGATACATTTGGGGTAAATCTATACTCGTTTGGTTATTGATTTGTATTTCGATAAATACTACTACTACTACTACTACTACTACTACTACTACTACTACTACTACTACTACTACTAATATCAGTTTTATATTATTACAGACTAATTTCTTTTAGAAAATAGTTTTAAAATTAGCATACTCTAGATTGCTGTCTTTTCGTGGTAAATGAATTTTGGTGCATCGTGGTGATGATACACTGGATAGCTAAAATCAATGTAGACTTGGCAAAGCTTGAATCTGTAATTTACTAATTGTAGTTAAATCTTTCATCATCAAACCATCAGTTCAATGAGGTGATTCTGTGTTAAGTCAATGTGAGCCTAATGATTGGCTGGAATACTGGTCTAAATGTATCATATACCTGATGTGAGATACTTGAAAGTGGTCCTAAATTCAAATACTATTAGAATTTAAAATTAAGCATTCTACTGCCTATTCTAAAATGAAAATAAAACATTTGATCAATTCTGTCTGTGATTTAATAATTTCACATGGTTGATATCATACCAACCATGTGTTTTTCTAAATAAATCTCTATTGTTTTGATAAATTTAATTTAAATCACTTCTTCCTCAAAAAGTCAATAAACAGACGAATCCAATTCATATTGAATTGATTAAATACAATATTAACATATAAGCAAACTGATTTTGATTATGTTTCAATTAAATATGTTGTCTAGGCTCTCCATATACCATTAGAATGATGTATAAATCAGTGTTAGACCGTCATTAGAAACCTGGAATCACTGGATGGCCGTTTCGTCCTGTTGTTCAACTCATCAGCAGCTCGCACTCAAGACCAATGGTCCTCGGTCCGGATCCTGCAACTAGCACAAGTCGTGGATGCTCACTACCCATGAGTCCCATACCAAGACGAAACGACCGCCCAGTGCTTCCAGGTTTCTAATGGTGGTCTAACAATGATTCATTCATCATTTCAATGTGTATAAACACCGATCTCCGTAATATCATAATGCAAAATCTCTATATACAGTTTAAATTTTATGTTAATTAAATTTGATTGTGTTTATATTACCCTCCAAAAAAATTAACTTGAACTAAGTTTTGAAATATTATTATAAAATCCTAAATTTTATTTAAATATATCAATTTATTTAAAAATTATCAATTCAAATCTTAAATCATTATTCTCATGATGATGATTATTCTGTTTCAGCATCATCGTATTCATCGGCGATCAGTGATTAACACTGGTGATAATGTTCCTCGTAAAATCTCTCCATCTTCAACAATTCATTCAACTAATCCATCTTTGTATACAAAACATTTTGATGTGCAGTTATTACTTACTGGTAAACGATTTACTGATCCAGTTGAATATATAGCTATACCAGACAGTATATGTACACCGAGAGCCTTAGGAATAATTCAAGTGAGTAATAGTAGCACTAGTAACAGTTATTTTATTCCTATATCTTTATCATTGATTGTTATGCTTGCCAGAAGTTGATATGCTTGAAACTATTACGAAGTTCACCTTAGTCGTTAAACGAGAGCGAAGACAAATGATCCAGTGACATGAAAGGCTACTCTGATCCGAGTGTCTCAAGGCCTCACTAACGATATCAACAAGGCGTGAAAAGTGTATTCTACAAGCACCCAGAAAATATGAGGTTTTCATGCACGCAAATCGAGTTTATTTTTACATCATAGAAACGTCTTCTTGGGAGAGCCACAAAAATAGTATACAAAAATAATCCATCAATCAATAACAGTCAAGGATTTTCCGGGTGTGAAAACTGATTTCAAGGTCAACTGATCAGCAGGTAAACTGACTTTTTTGTGTTGAACTAGAGATTTTCGGCAGCTTACTTTATTCGAGAATGATTGCTGTGTGATTAATTTTTGTTCATTTCATACACAAGAGTATCAAACCAGTTCTCTTTTGTTTACACTCACACAAAATCGTACATAAAAGTGCATTGCTTCATTCTACAACTATTGGGCATTTGAGGTGGGGGGCCAATAAGCGTTAGATAATCAATTACTGTCTTATTCCCTTGTTTAGAAATCTCTCCATTGTTTAGACAATCTTCTATTATTGTTATTATTATTTTCTTAATTATTTGTCTACTTGGTTTTTTGTTTCTTTACAAAAATGTCCGAATGCATATATGTATGTGTGTGTGTTGTGTGTGTAGGTATGTGTGCACACATCATTTATCATGAATGAATCCTCCTATCACAACATGAACTGTCAATGTTATGTTCAATGTCCAATAATGATTTGAAATTGTCAAATTAATGTGAATGTGGACCACAGGCGGACAAGTGCATAAATCATTTTTTGCTTGGTGTGTGTGTGTGTATGTGAGTGCGTGTCTGTATGAATGTATGTTATTGTGGATGAACATAGAAGAACAATGCATTTTTCAACACATAAATCATAAATCTATGCATTATTAATATTATTATTACCTGTTCTGTTAAACAATTACTTCACTCTGTTTATTTCTTCAAATTATAACCATTATTATTTGTTGTTTTATTGACATTTTTTGAAAATTAAATCCAGGTGAAAAAAGAAACTGATTTGATTTAAATGTTTTGAGAAAAAAAAATAATTCACTAACTCCATGTTGATGTTGATATTTATTATTTATGATATTTATTTCACCGTAATTAATCGAACAATCTCGTCAAAGAAACATTAATTGTTCTTCATGAACATTCCATTCTGTTGGTATTTTTTATAATTTACAACAAGATCTGACTTTAGTTAAATAATCGTTGGAAAATAGGAAATATTAAACGGCCATTTTATTCTAGTAGGCAACTCTTCAGCGGTTCACATCTACGATCTCGACATAAATAAACCCAGGACCTTTAGGTCTCATGCGCAAGCACTTAACCCTGAGATTACAGAGTAATCATCCAGTGGTTAGTATGTTTAATTTCAGTCAGTTCGCACAAATATCATCATCTAATATCTTGAACAAGATACCTGAAACATACACAATATGATTGGATGCTACTGATCACTCCAGAAATTACGCAATGGAATAATTCACTAATGATTACATGTTTTTATTAATGTAAGATGTTTATGGACATTAATTAGAGTTAGAGATGTTAACTACTGGATACTGACTCCCTGATCTAATGGTTAACTTTACTGCATAACCTGAAGGTTCAAAGGTTCGATCCCCCAGGAGGGTTGTGGATGCGCACTTTTGAAGAGTTCAATCCTAGGGCTGAATAACTTCCGTGTTTTCAGTGGTTGTCTAACTACAATCAGTCCGTAACATTAACTGTTAGATTTACCTGTTTCTACAAACTTTATTGGTATTGTTGATTAAGTAACCTTCGAATTAATGAGGAAATATTATTGAGATTAAAATCTTAATGGATTGAGTGTTGATAATTTTTTTTTGTGAGTACAGTCAATTAAGCTATTCTTAGCACTGTTCAAAATAGTTAATTTTTTTTTAAATGATGTAACTGACTTACTAAGAGCAGAAATTAATTTTAGAGTCACGCTTTTAGTACGAAGAAAACGATAATGCTATATTTTTTTCGTTCAAACGAAAGTACAAGGAGATAGGGTTTAAAGCTGTCGCTTTAGGAGTTGAATATTAAAACGATGCAAGCAATTGTTTCTTTTTTAGTATATATCATATGTAGCTAGTAGTTAAATCCAAGGTGGGTGTTTTAGTCCTATTCGGTACTGGTCATCTAAATATACCTGCATCCTTAGTAGTTAATGTTCACTCATTGTTTTTATCTCTCACTAAATTAAAGAGTATCTGAACTTAATAGCTTTTTTTGTTGAAATATGGAAGTACATACAACTGTCAAGTCCCTAAATGCAACAAATCACGAGTACGAGATTCCTCTAATGACTATATACTAAATATATACCAAGGTTAGATAGAGCTCTTAGTTGAATACTTTCATTTGTAATATTAAAGATTCTCATTGTGCATAATTAGGATAACACAAATAATAAGTGAACAATATTGTCGCCTTCAATTAGATCGTCGATAAGCTTTACTCTCTAATATACATGAAAATGTTAAATCAATCAAGGTTATTTATTATGAGTCAATAATCACAATGAAATGAAATAGATTACGTCACTACACACATAATAGGCAAAAGTACAAGTTGATAGTAGGAAGAATAATAAAATACAATAACATAAGTTTTTGTCAATAGTTCAACATTGGAAGTAGTAGTAGGTGGAACGCGAATAAATAAATTTAAGATAATCATTATAAAACATCAAAACCATTACATAATAAAAAGTGTATAAATAATTACATAATGAAAAATATAAATGGAAAGAGGCAGAAAACTACAAACAATTACAAGATGTGAAAACAAAAATTAAAATGGTTTATTAAGTTATATCCTTCTAAAGAAGGAACAGCGGCATCGTGAATTTGTTCGGAACACATGAATCAAGGTTAAATGTTCTGAAATACCTATGGCTTCTGCTATATGCAGGAGACGGAGTCGAACTCCGTTGAGAAATAATGGAGGTATTCGATAAATGACTCGAAATGATTCAGATTTATTTAGGCTATGAACTGTTATAAATCAATTTATTTTCAGGCAGAGTTTTGGAGGTTTTGTGTTTTTACACATTTGAAATCATCAACCAATCATTATTAGACCACCATTAGAAACCTGGAAGCACTGGACGAACGTTTCGTCCTGATGTGGGGCTCATCAGCAGTACGCATCCATGACTCCTGCACTTCGCAGGATTCGAACCCGGGACCTTCGATATTGTGCGCGAACGCCTAACCATCGGACCAGTGGGCCGGCATCCAACGGTGTTAATGTCTAACTCTGATTGATCTACAGATTTTGCCTGTTAAACGAATTTTCGAAAAAATGTTAAACTTTAGTGTATACATAAATCATTGATGACATATATTGTTGATAATAATAGTGTAAAAATATAGAGTTACATGAAAATGGAATTCATACCAGTCCTCAATACATGTCAGTATAATAATTAGTACAACAAACTCTATTAGTACATATAATCATCATGAATGAGTCAGTACAATATTCATTTTTACAATAATTTCTTTCTGTGTATGTGTATACACCTACCACTTGTTAATTTATAACATTTGACAATTGATTGAATGACCTATGCATCTATCCATCCACCCTTTTATTTTTTGTACAACGCCAGTCTTAACTACTACTTTGTTTTAATTTGTAATTTCATGTATGTCATTAGTTTTTACCTTGACCTAGTTGTTCAGTTTCTTTTCTTCACTTTCTACAAGTACAAGAAGGGGTGCACAGTCTCCACTTGCACTTATCATAAATAATCAAAATACACCGAGTAAATCGTTTGGGTCAAGAGGCCATTTATTTTTTTTCTAGGTTGATGAAATGTTGATTAAATGTTTTGTTCAGTATACTAGTCAGTATTTTGATAAATTTTTTGAATAATAATTGACTTTGTATTATGATGATTGAAGATTTATTCATTCAGTCATTCATTCATTTTAGCATAAATATTATTATGTATGCTTACATTATTGTGTGTATCAGATAATGTATGTGTGTTTGTGTAAAAGTGATTAATGGTTTATGGCTAGCAAGTCAATGACTTTGCAATCCAATCTGTATTACACTATACCTGTGTAACATGGAATATGGAAGTAAGAGACTTGTGTAGACTGCACGTCTTAGATCATTGGCATCGTCGAAGGATTGTTCTCATATCCCCCCAGAATGAGCGACAGTAAGGTTTAGGCATATGATGCTAGACAAAAATGACAAACTATTTGATGAGTTTGTGATTATTCATCAACTGAGAAAGATGGGATATGCTTTTCAATTATTTAAGCACGACTTTCGTCGATGGGTTCATGTAGTTGATACCAAAAACATGCCATCGATTTACCGGTTGTATTAAGAGATGAAAGGTGCCTGATCTGGATTTGCACGTATATAGTTACAGTCAGTAGTTCGAGACATTGTTTGGCATGGGTTGGAATCTCTCACAATGGTAATTACGCACTTTATATCTTAAGCTAGATTTTGAGTTCCACTGGGGTATATACTACTCACAACGTCGCTTGTAAGTAGTATGCAGCAGAGTGTCAGATAAGGGTGCATGGTGAGATCAAAGTGTTTAGAAAACTAGAAGACATCTGAGAATCTGCTTGTTTTGCAAAAGATTAGGTGTAAAAATTTCGCTAGTAAACTGTCTTCTTTCAATAAACCACTTATTGCATCTGATCTTACGTCTTCGTACATACTTTTCCACTTTGTTCTTTTTAGCCGTACTCCTAACGGATATTCTTTTTAATTATCATTAGCACTACATCATTATGTTAGTTTCACATCTGTGCCAGACTCTTCGTTCATAATGGCTGACTGACGTCAGTAGTGCATATTCACATCCCTATCAGGGTTAAATTTAACAATTTTCGCAACACCTTTTGTTAATGTCAGGGACATTAGATCTCCTGAACTCACTTGATAAATGTTCTAATTTTGGATTTTACGTTTTCGCGCATGGGCTGATCACTTGACCTTGAGATTACATTTCCCACCCGGAAAATCCTTGACTGTTATTGGTTGATGTATTATTTTAGTACGCTATTTTTGTGGCTCTCCCAAGGACGTTTCTATCATGTATACATAAACTCAATTTGTGTGCTTGTGAACCTCATATTTTAGTGCTTCTAGCAAACACTTTCTACGTCTTGTCACGACTTCTTCCTCTACTTAGTGGGCCTTGGACGCTCAGATTAGAATAGCCTGTCGTGTCACTTCAGCATTTGTATCCACTCTCGTTTACCGACTAAGGTGAACTCGTAATGGTTCAAGCATATCAATTGACGAGCGTAACAATTAATGATTATTATTTATTCATTAGTTAATAACTTCAGTTGATCATTGTCAGAGTTGTGCTTGAGAAGCTGTGCTTTGAAAATCTTAGATTCAACCCACAATGGATGAATTCATACTATTACGGAAACTCATACATACAAGGTTCTCTATGGTTGCTTAACGACTTGGGTTGGATTGTGATTTTGAACTATAAAAATAAAGTAGGAGCCTAATGACCAATATTTTTTCCGAAAGTTTAATATCGTTTTATTATATTTTCTACTTATCATGATCAGGTGAACAATACTGACATGGATTATCATGTATCCAGATTGATCTCATTGGCCATTGCAGAAATTCTCGGCATTAAATCATTTCCATGTCCTCCATTGTACAGGTAATTTATAATGTTGATTTTGTTGATTTATTTTTCCGTCGATTGTTCACAATGTACCAATAAGTTTAAGTTGCGTTTTTTTTTTAGATTGCAGATGAGCTGTTTTTTTAGAAAGTCAAACGTTTGAATGAACCTCTCCCACTTTACATAATATATAATCCTTCTCAGCTTTTGGTCGCGTATCAACACATTTGGAATCATATTTTTATACGTGACCTATTGACCTTGAGTGTATTACTAGATTCATATGTATCATCGATTTTTGTTCAGCTCAACTCATCAGTAGTCTTATGAGTAGTGAGTTGGTAATCGAAGATCACGACGGCCTGCATATCTTTTATGCTTTCTTAGGGGGCTGACGGCCGTCTATAACGAACAGCCTTAGTAGCTTACTTTGCGTATTTACTCGACAGACTGTAGACATTATCAATTTTCATTTCCTAGGTGTGTGTGTGTGTCTCTAAACACTAAATAGATCCACATATATGTATTTTGAGATTGATTTGTACAGTTGATGGATCTTTTGTAATTATGATTTATTCAAGTTCATCTTACTGACAAATGCCGAATAGCATGAAACCTAGGTCTACTGTTTCCTGTCTACTAATTCCTATAACCTAACATAGTGCATGTGATGTGGGGTCACTTATGCCATTGGTTATTTTACAACTTAATCAATAGAACTGTTATTAGAACCAAACAAGACTAGAGAAACATGTTATTAGTCATTATGCAGTGATGAATCATTTGTAAATATCTCAATCTTATAAGTCACTTGTAACAGAAATCACCCAATGGTAGCATTTCAAACTTTGAAGTTTGGTCGAATCAATATTAGACGTTCACCTTGTTGACGAATGTCAATTAGCGCGGAACCGAGACCATAGGTTTATTTCCTCCAACCTCCAATTCGCTTACAGAAGCTTAAGATTGTCAACAACATTACTAGGCAATGTCAGCTTTAAGAATTTCCTAAACTAAAATAAAAATCCACATTCATACATTACACATTTTTGAAACCATGAATCGATCAATGTTAGACCACCATTATAAACATGGAAGCACTGGATGGCTGTTTCGTCCTGGTATGAGACTCATCAGCAGTGCGCATCCACGACTCCTGCACTTCGCAGGATTCGAACCCAGGACCTTCGGTATTGTACGCGAACGCTTAACCATCGGATCACTGAGCCGGTATCTAACGGTGTTAATGTCTAACTTGATCATACATTAATAATTCTAATATCTGTTTTTGTTTGTTTTGTGTTTCTTTTTTTTTTCTACTTAGTTGTAATTCATTTGATTTATTTTCTGATGGTGATAATTCACGTCTTCAACTTGCTTTATCATCTGGTATGGCTGATTGTTTATTACAAAATATTGTTGTAACAAAGGTTTGTTTTTTCTTTGCTTCTCTTTATTGTGTTCTGTTATTTATTCAATGAATGAATTAATTTCATTGTGCTTTACATTCATTTTATTGATGAATTAAAATTGTTTACATCATTGACTGAACTCAGACAAGACTCTATAAACACATATTTCACTATGATTTACTGAAACTCCTTAACAGTACACATACTTGGTTGAACTAGGGGTGAGTTGGTTGACTCAGGGATCTGTGACAACAACCAATACCTGCCTATAAAAGTATGTGTAGGTGTACATTGTTTTGTAAAGTGTAACTGCCCCCCACCCCACAGTAGATTCATTGATTTTTACTGATGTTTCGAATAGGGTTGGTGTGTTGCGTATAATATCATAGAAGTAAGTTTAAAAAAATGTATCCACAAGTAGAAAATCGCATTAATTTCATGTTCGGCTTAATTCTAAGTGTTAGAATATAAATTTTATAATTTTTTTTTACATATTAAGCTACCACTAATAGATTTGAGTACTGACTGTATAATCTAAAGGTTCAGCGCTCGTTGCTCTAAATCTAAGCTGGATACTCACTCAGTGAGGTAGCTATCTACTACTAAAATCAGTCTTATGCCTGAAAGGCAACAGTTGTTTACAGTTTCATGATTTCCAATCTTTAAAACCCTATCCAGTTCACAGCAACTAGCATGAACCATAATAAATCCCGATTTAAGTGAGTGATCTGTCAGAATCTAATCTTATCTTAATTTTAACATGTCATAGAGTTATCTAGTTGTTGATAGTTTTTTAAAAGGAATTTTGATCAATCTTATTTATTTGAAAGTTAGATGATCATTAGAAACCTGGAAGCACTGAAAGACCGTTTCGTCCTGGTATGGCACTCATCAGCAATCTTCACAACCCCGTAATGAAATCTTATTTACATGCATGATGCATTCATTCAGCTGATATAGTGTGTGCATCATGGTGTTTCACTCTTCTAGTCACATTCTATCTATTGATTGAATCTGTTGTGTGCGTGTGTGTTTTGTTCGAACACCTTATTGTCATCAAAGATAAAATTATTCAGCAACTATTAGTGTACTTTCTCTTTGTATTGATTGAGTTATTTTGCTTTTAAAACACTTTTCTCTTCACAAAAGTAACAGCAGTCCAAACAAACATATTGCATTGTTTTGTCCAAATTTATTATAAATCATCAATCAGCTCAAAATCGTTTATAATGGTGCAGGTGCATTCAAATCCTAACCTTCTGAATTCCTCACTACCTTTATCTTTTGTTTTTAAGTTTATTTCACTTGGATTCTACTTCTTGAATAATATCGTCGAAACCATAAAATTTCCGATTACTGCTGATACTTCTACTATCTCTACTACTATGGGACTTGAAGTGACAATTCTATCTCTCTATGCTAATGTGGTATAGCAACTTGAACTGCTTAACTTACGTATGTACGTACGTACATAGTTCTATGTTGTTGTTGTTGACTTGATCAACTGATTGATTGACACACAACTCTATATAATTGATCAAATTTGAGACGAAATCATAATTCATTGGTCTACACAATATTGATGATATCATCATTATCATCATCATCTCTTTCACTATACGCATATGGATACATCTATTTATTGACAACTTACTAGTTTTCACTTTCTCAATTAATTAAGGTGTTATGCAAGAAACTAAGACATAGTAACAATCAATGCAAATAAAACATTTTTACTTCTGATTATATATAAAACCTCTCTCTAAAACACATTTTGCATAATTCACTATCCTTTTTTGTAAGAGAGAACAATAGGCGCGTTCAATTATTACGTTTGTCAATTTCACTGGACTTTGGCTAATTAACTCTTGTTCTAATTGAATGAATGAATAGTTAAATTTTTATTTACGTCATTTGTTTTTTTTGTAACTGTTTGACAACAATACGAATTTCGCTGTTTATATACATAGAGCTGTGTGTGTTTTTGTGTTTGTGTGTGTGTGTGTCAACCAACTAGTAATTTATTATCTTTTTATCTTTGGTACTTTTATTGACATATAGTGGTGTATTAGTGGAAATTTTCCTACAATGGTTAATAACTAGAATTTATGCTTGTCTAGTTTTGTAGACAATTAAAATATATATATATTTTTTAATTAGTTAATAATATATATGAATTATTGCATAGTAGTAGTTATTATAGGTGGTGTCAACTACAATAACAATCCCTTCTTTGTAAGTTTCTTGTTTATTATATCCAATTGTCTATTAGAGGCCAATCATTAGGGTGATGATTAATATTGACACCAACAGACACACACACATACTTTTGCTTTTGTTTTATTCTCCTTCAGTTTGTTTTATTTTGTATTTTCTCATGGGATTGAAAAATTCACTCAACTTTATTACTTGACATCAATTAACTGTATGTTACAAAGTGGACTGTTGTAAACCACACCTAATATATATGATTCATGTCTTTTAGATTGAAATCTGAATTGATCAAATCGTACATTACAGTTTATGTAGAGTTATGTATGTAAAATAAAGTATTTGGTCAGTTAGCTACAAAGTAGAACTTGATACGTATGTATATCACTTCGAGAGAAGACAAAGAATGGATACACCTTCACCATCGCAAATGATCTTGAGCCATGTCATTCATAGTCTCTAACCATCGGTTACGGTTGTCTCGCATATCCCAGCCAGGTAGTCTACGCTTACTAACATGATTCAGTAAAGTTTTATAGTTGGGCTTTAGTAGTTAATGCGTAAATTGAAACGGTTCTTTATGTTGAAATTTTGAGATCAAATAAACGACTGCTCTGGTCCTGTATGCGCTTTTCTCAGACGCAACATTCATCGAGGTCGCGAGATTCTAGAGTACTTGCTAAGGAACCCTGTTGTCCTATTCGACTTAAGGTGTGGACATTGAAAACCTCCAACATGTGGCCTAGAGCGGAGTTTCAGGAGACCTGGAATAGTATTTCGCGTACTCAAATCTATGAGGTAAGGTTAGGTGTGATATTTTTTGAGTCGACCTCTTTTAACCCCTTCTTTCCGTTGTGAGAAGGCAGCATCGCTGCAGGTGCTGGTTGTCTGAGAGAAACACCTTGCTGCTATGTCACACTCCTCTGCAGTCAGCAGTACGACTTTGCCTTCAGGCATTCAGTTGCTGCATTTAGTCTTGCGGTTCTTCAGTTGACCTGCCTGGCATGGCAGGACCTAAGGAAACACATGTTCCAGCCGATATAGCTCGGTTCAGTCATCATAATAGGCAAGCGCAACCACCTCGTTAACATAGCAGCAACTCTTGGGTTCTACGTTAAAGTTGACTGACTGAGATGGTCATTGTTTTCCACTTTCCATTTTCTTATAAATTGTAAACATGATCGAAATAAGTCATTTGTATTCTTCTTACTCTTCGTCTTCTGCTTGGTTTCCAGGATTCTAAATCTTTTGTCGATACTTGTGGTAATGGTCAAATTGATCGAGGTGAAGAATGTGATCCTGTGGTTCGCCGAACTTTAAGCTCTTCTGCAAACTTTACTAATCCAATGTCTTGTTGTAATTTAGAGACATGTTTAGCTTCAATATGGGCTGTATGTACACATGGTCCATGTTGTCATCAATGTCGTTTAAAACAAAAAGGTAGTTTATGTCGTCCAGCATTTGATCAATGTGATCTACCGGAATTTTGTACCGGAACACATGTAAGTTGGATTGTTGTTGTTATTTTTTTTTGTTTGATAAGCAGTTATTTTATGTGTCAGTCTGCATAATGCTTTGTGTACTCTTGAGTTTGTAACCTTTCTATTATTAGAAACATTGAGTATTCATTTATGATAACATCTTTGTTTGATTATTATTAGTGATAATCGAAGCCTTTTTAATAAAATCTTAGTAACTAACCTGTGTCATGTTGTCAAGTCGTATTTTGACCTTTTGACTGTTGTATCCTATCAGTGAAATCATTAGACTATGCGCCTAGACATTACAATAAACTTTAATTTGATATTTATTTAGTTAAAAGCTGTTGATAAACAAACGTCACTTCAATTCTATGTTGTTGTTGTTGTTTTTAAAATGCTAATTGATGTTTGTCTCAGTGTTCACTACAATCTGTGCTAAAATCTATCACGAAATTTCACTGTACTCAGTTGCCTAACGGTCTCTTTGCTAGGTTAATCACTAAGTTCACCTACTCATACAGTCCAATCAAATGGTTAATGCATTGCCTTAATTTTATGCATAAATTTGCATTATGTTACATGATGGTTTGGGCCTATGTAACATATGTCCTAATCATCAGAGTTGATGAAGATTCATAGCTTTACCAAGTGGGGTTTTGCTATCTTTGTGTAGCATCCTACATTTGATTTCAGTATTTGTTATAAATCTCTCTTAGGAAACCCAGCTATTCCTATTGCTTAGTATTCTCTGACACTCGACACATTCGGCAAGTCCCCAAATCAGAACACAGTTGAACAGGAAAAAGATTATATTCCAAATAGCAAGGTGAAATGGGATTAAGAAGCCGAAGCGAAGGCGAAATAGGAACAACGTTAGTTTCTTTATAGTTTTTACATGAGAAGCTTCTAGAGTGTTCTGCAAGTATCGATCAGGCTCTGATTGGACAGGAATTAGCCAATCAGCACGCAGCTAACGCAGTCATGCTTTAACCCATCTACGTCCCGCTAATCACTTTTTTGTTCAATCATATTTAAGTAATATTTCGATGACACATATTTGATCAAATACTAGCAACCTAAATATATACGTCCTCGGCTTCCAAATTTCATGTTTTACAGTCATAAAATAAAACAGACTATTATGCGGTGTATTCTTCTTGCCTATTGATATACAAATGAATATTTCACTTATCCCATTAAAATACTATTACATATTTAGGTATTTCGTAGCTTCTTAGACATAGCTAAGAATAAGTTCAACTTATCGATCGCAAAATATGATCATGATTTTAGGAAACTAAAGTATCAATATCAGTGAATGAAAAAACCAATTGAATCTATATGTCGTTGAATTCCTTTTTAATGATGACCTAAATTCATTTAGGATAGAAAAGTAACAAAGCAGATCAAATGGTCCATTCTTATAAGGATTTACATACTTGTCATACTGTATTTTTTATTTATAGTTGTTGATTTCGATAAGTTGTTTTTCTGATATTCACGAATTACTCATGTAAGAAGTTAGGTAGGTGTGTTTGTGCTTAGTCAGATAAAAAAATGTCATTAGCGGTCTTAATTTAACGTATCAATATGCATATAAAAGTATTTTATACATTAAGTAGTCCAAGTATATTTTTAGAAGCGCTAGAATTCCAGTACTTCGGTAGCCTATTCAATGCCTCAGAGTCATCTGAAAGTCTATTTATTTAGCAACTAAGATGAAATACAGTGTTTGTTTCTCAAATTTCAGTTGGTAACCTATTCCAAAATTTTAAAAAAGCTTATGTGGGTAGAAGTTTTACTGTATGTTTGACCCACAATGTAGTATTTCGACTAACGTAATATGATTCCATGAAACTAACTACTGAAGAGTGTAGTAACTGATAATTCTAAATGGAGCTTAGCATAAAGTTTGTTTGTCGTTTTCCAAAGAGATTCCAACATGGTGTGTATCACTTTGTGTACAGTAATTCTAGTTACTATCTCTCTAATAAATTTTCCTCTCAAAATATCACTGTCTGGATTATACTTGTTGAATAATTTCTTCGGACCCTTATCTTTCCATTATCGCTAATATTTCTACAATCTCGTACTACTATGACATTTGAATTGACAATCACATCTATGTGCTAATGCGGTATGACAACTTGAATTGATGTACAAACATACGAAGTTCTACATTGTTGTTGACTGACTGACTAGAAATATCACTGTATTCTCTCTAGTTAAAACTGGTTCATGTTTTATGTGCTGAAAGTATTGTTTTTGTTGCTACAGTTACTGGTAATCATAATGAACTGAGAGATTACGTAATCTTATTGTAAATAACAGTTGATCAAGACCGAAATCAGATTATAATTGATCAGTATCACTAAGATTATGTATGAGATTGTTACAAGAAGAGGTATGCAGTTGTAGTTATATTATGATAAGTAAAGGTTTATCGTACGTAGGTACATAGGTCGGAAATATTTGTTATCTCTTTTCCTCTGTAAAACAGAGCACAGTTAACACAGACTGCTTGTTATTGTTCCGATCATTATTTCTAGTATACTTGTCTTTTTTTACGAATGTTGTTTAGCTACACAATCCTATGAAACCATAAATCGATCAATGTTAGACCACTATCAGAAGCCTACTGAGTCCTATACTAGGACGAAACAACCGGTTACAGGTTTCTAATTGTGGTATAACAATGATTGATTGATGATTTGAAAAAGTAACTCAACAATCTCCACTACTCTATAATGAGAACATAGTCGTTTGTCACGATTATCATGAACTCATCAATAGTTGTATTGATTGGTTTAATACATAAATCTTATTTGTTTATTAGAGGATAACCCTGACGATGATCTAGATGTTTATACTCTTTTGAATTTTTGTTATTTGTTTTATAAATCCTTAGATAATATTTTATTCTTTTTCATTCAGCCGTCTTGTCCATTGGATTTATATTTGGAAAATGGTTCTCCATGTTTAACACAATCAGCCCAGTCACTAGTTGGTGTTGTATCCGCTTCATCGATATCATCTTCCTCGTCCACATCTATTACTACAACAACAACTACTACTGCTACTACTATTGTACAGAAAAACAATCACTCATCATCATCATCATCCTCATCACAATTGAATCAATTAATCGAAAACCATAAATCATTATGCTATCAAGGTCGTTGTCCAACACGTCATAGTCAATGTGAAATGATTTGGGGCGAGAAAGCTACAGAGGCGGCGGATTATTGTTTTCATTTACACAATACAAAAACTGATGGAGCTTGCGGTGTACAAGGACAACATTGTACTGCTGAGTTAGTTGAATTATTCTATATTCATTTTCATTTTACTCATGTCTTTCTATCTTAATTAATTCTCTTTGTGGTATGTTTGTTTTTGAGATGTGTATTTACCTCTCGTATTGTTTATCCATACTCATCTGTAGCTTTGTACCTTTGATATAGGGATTAGGCTTGAATATCCTGGTTACCTAATCGATTTGTAATAGCTGGAAGATTTGTTCTTTTATTTCCTACCATACCAGGCAGGTCAGTCTAACAGACCAATAAGAATAAAAGAGCTGAGATTGAAGTTGTATTACCGACTGTACTGGGTTTGTAACGACAACAGAGTTTCCTCAGAACAGCTATAGTTTATAGCTATTCTATCCTGAAAACAAGGGAATCTGTACTAAAAATGTTACACTTGAAGTTACCTCGCAGAGTCTCATCTCTGTATAGTGAAGGCCTCCGAGAAGTAATATCCCCCCCAATAACCTCTAACAGCACTTGAAGCTGCAGATCCAAGTTGATGCAAACTCTTAAGTCGGTCTTAATTACAGACTAAATACTACTGAGAACCAGTTAATACAATGCAGAGATGTCTTAATTTATTGTCGGATTCCTCAACAGTAAGTGTAGCCTCAACTACCGCATAATAAATCGAACTCTATGACCTCTAATCTTCGTAAACTACTCGGTATTTTCCGTTCAAAATGAAACGGTACTATTTAACAACCCGTTGTACACGTAGAAACGAATCAACTAGTGATATGTTCCTCAATTTAAAAACCTAACCTACTTCGATATCAACCACTTAAAACGGCGAAACAATATAGATTCATCAGATTGATTTAACGAAAAACGTATGTTGAACAACATATCAATGTTAAACTTTTATAACAATAATAGTATATATAACCTCATTAATTTAGATAGGTTTTTTTGGTGTAAGTTTATAATCTTGTCACTCTATCATTATTTCCCTTTGTACACTAATCCTTCATATCATTTCTCTTTGACTATCTCTCTCTGTTTCTCTTTCTCTATGCTTCCTATTGTTAGACATGCAAAATGTGGCCTTTTACAATGTCAAGGTGGTAGACCTAGACCTGTTTCATTAGAAGCACAATCTGGTCAACCATTTGTTACTTATACAGAACATCAAGGACGTCAGTTTGAATGCAAGTAAGTTTTCAAATAGATATTTCCACATATAATTATAGTTTTATAGTTGAAAAATGGATCTCAATTTATTGTTTTTTTATTCATATTGGTTGAAAAATGAGATTTTTGATTTTACTAATGTGATGGGCACGTTAGATCCTCAGAAATCACTTGGAAAAGGTCTTAATTTTGGATTTTTTTTAGGTTGACCTTCATGTTACATTTCCCACTCAAAATATCCTTGACTGTCATTAGCTGATGTATTGTTTTGGTAGTAGCTATTTTTGTGGCTCTATCAAGGACATTTCTATCATGTTTATAAATAGACTCGATTTGTGTGCTTATTGACCTCGTATTTCTGAGTGCTTGTAGAATACACTTTGTACGCCTTATCAAGACTTCTTGATATAGTTAGCCGGACCGAGGACAATGGATTAGAAGAGCGTATCGTGTCACTGCATCATTTATCTGCACCCCGTTTACCGAGTAGGAGAACTCGTCATAGCATTCAAGCATGTCAATTGACGAGCATATCATAATGATATATGCCATTCTTTGAAACTATCCGTAAATAGGTAGTGTGATTTGATTATATGACAAATGTTAGTTCAAATGTTGAAGAATGTGTGTGGTAGATTTTCCCCTATTCATAAATATCCCAACTAATCTTTGTTACTAATAGGTTGGTTGTTTCCGGGTTTAGTTTCCCATTTTTGTTGTGTCTCAAGTAGATTGTCTTATAGGTTATTCTATTACAATTTCGCCTTTTTTTTTAATATCAAACTTTTCCTTTGTTCTTGACTTATTTTTTCAACCTAACGAGTGATTGTTATTGAAGTGTTAATCATCCGGACTATCCGATTTGAATAGATAATACTCAGACTAGACGAATCTCTCAATCGTTCATAATTCTTAATAACCATTAGCTTTCATCACAAAATGAAACAATATATGACTTCTCAACAATCTTCAACTGTAACACTGCGCGTGTAATGTGAATATTCCATTGGTTGTGAAGCGTTCAACTTTCAACCGTTAAGCCTCACATTAAAACTCTGCTCTATCGAATTTAGTTTGAACAATCGATGGTGATAGTGTTATTAATTTTAACAATCACGTAACAGACAGACAGATACAACGCAGAACTTCGTACATAAGTACATCAGTTCAGGTTGCCATACCACATCAGCACTGAGACGTAACTGTCAGTTCAAATCCAAGAGTGACAGCGATAGTAGAATTATTAGCAGCAATGGAGAAGATTAGGGAGCGAAGATATGATTCGAAAAGTATAATTCAGTGAGATAAATTTAGAAGGAGAAAGATAGAGATGATGAGGAATTCAGAAGGTTAGAATTTTAGAGAACACAAACAAACAGTGGATGCATCTTTGCCATTGCAAAAGATTCTGAGCCATGTCGTTCAAGGTCTCTAACCATCGGTGACTATCGTCTCGCGGACCCCAACCAGGTAGCCTACATCTACCAACATGACTCAGTCCACTTGTCAGTGACTTCATGGATTTGTGCCATGTTTTGGTCTGGCCACAATTACGTAACAGCACACAAGACCGAATTAGTCACAATCAAATCTTTCCTATTGACTTTAACAGTCAGAGTATAATTCGAAGTTATATACATAAATTTGTTCGTGATACTTATTCAATATGAGAACAACATATACAGGCGAATAATATTGTTTTCAATTCGATCTTCACCAAGCTCTACTCTAATATACATGAATATTTACATGGGCATATGAAAAAGCATTCAACGAATCAAATTGATATTTGAATCAATGATCACGATGAAATAGATTACATAACTACAGATAATAGACATTTTTACGTGTATTAAGTGATGAGAATAGTAAAATTATCATTATAGTCAATAATTCAACATAGGTCAAACTCGAACTAACAGGTATTGAAATAATTATCACAAAAATGCTCTTGAAATTTACATAATAAAAATTGTATAAATAATCACTTAATGAAGAATATAGACGAAAAGAGAAGAACAACAAACAATCACAGGATTTCATATCCAGTCAAAGCATGTCACTCAGTCAGTCAGTCAGATACAACGTAGAACTTCGTACGTAAGTACATCAGTTCATGTCGCTATACCACATCAGCACAGAGATGTAATTGTCAATTCAAATGCAATAGTAGAAGTAATCGGAGAGGTTAAGATTAGAAGATATTATTCAAGAAGTATGATTCAATGAGAAAAGTTTAGAAAGTCAAAAGTAGAGGGGTTCAAGAATTCAGAAGATTAGGATTTGAGAGAACACAAAGCATAAATGCACGAGCAATGCTTCGAAGACACCTATGATCGAAACAAAGCATGTCACTAGTTTTTTTTGAACGCATTAACTAGGGTTATCGGGTCAGATCTCTTTAGCTTCTGTTGTATATAGGAAACGAGGTCAAATATTTAGAAACTAAACCGATATACAACAGATCACTGGAACTGATTTGGCCTTATCATCTACCATATGACCATTTTAAACTAGTTGTACCAAAATAAGACTGGCTATTGTCTTTGTCTGACCTTTCTAAACCAAGTTGAAAGATGTTCAGTGAACCCTAAGCCTTAAATGTTAGTCCTAGTATTATAAACTATTTATCTATAGTTGCTGTTTTATTATTGGCTGAATTAGGCTCAATCCTTATTGACTTGCCCTTATCGTTGAGTTTTGCTTACACTCTAGACTAAATAATTTTTCACTTACAACAAACTCTCTTTGTTACCCGTAGTTATTAGTGGGAGCAGTATTTACCGATAATTTTTTTCGATCTTTCTCCCCTTCCCTCGGCTAAATACTTAACATTTTCTATTTAGCAAATTTTTTAACTCATTGGTTTATCTTCTGGTTCGATGAATATATCATATTTTAATTCATCAATTTCTTTGACATGCATAACAGATTACCTTGAGATGTTTTCGGCTATCGCATGTTTTAGTATATTTTGTATGCGTAAAGCATTGAAATCAAGGACTAGTGTTTCTCTGTGTTTAGGACTCATCAACTAAATGTATCAGTTAAATATACCTTCATTCACTTCAGTTAATACTTTTATTGACACTACTATCAATATGCCTAAGTCCTGATAACTAATCATTAAGTTTGGTTAATAACAGATGATGTAACTATTTGTAACATAAAATATAAATTAAGAAATAAATTTTTTCATAGAATTATACTTTATTCCCTTTAAATTTATAAAATTGAAAAGAAATAACCATAAGAAAATTGGCAAAATGATTATTATCATCATTTTTTTTACGTATAGCAAATTAATTGCTCATTCTGTTATTTTTCCCTTGATCCTTATTTCTCTATAACTGTTTCTACTGTTACTACTACTGCTTCTTTTCATATGTTCTTCATAATTCAACAATTAATCACTGTCAATTGACGACTCTCACTACTAGTATTAGTAGTAGTAGTAGTAGTTGAGTTGGAATTGATGCGAAACTTTCTGTACATACATACATACACACACACACATACGCACTCATCTACACGTCCGCCGATCAGTATTAACGTTTATTATTCGTTTGTCAATGTGTTGTTATTCATCCGTGTGAAGTACAAAATTCAATAATGTATTGTTTGCTACACGCAACATTTATTAATGCTACTCTGTTAGATAGCCGCTGTTACTACTGTCGCTGACATATAAAAATACATAAATATATATATATCTATACCTAAATTTTTTTTTGAAGAAGAAGAAGGGTGTTGGAACATATCAGCTCTGCAAGTCCCAGATCCCTGTGACATCATGGATTGGGGAGTAGTTATGTTTTTTTGTAGTAAACAAGATTTTCTTCATTCTCGGAAAATAAAGAAATATTATAACAGGCATACCATACACCTTGTTATTATTATTATTATTATTTTCACTATGATAATAATAATTATTATTTTATGGTGTTTGGACACGCACTTTTCCGGTTTTTCAATAAAATTTATGACAATTTATTACTTTTATTCAATTTATAAACAACACAAACTTAGATTAGTAATCATAGTTGCTTTCAAGCGTTTATTTGTGTGTTCACTTTTGCGTGTGTGTGTGTGTGTAAGTGTTCGTATGAATTTGAACAACTATGCACTTGCGTCTGAAAGACAAGGTGATTAAACTAACAAAATAGATGAGTTTGACAAGATTTATTCATTCGTAACAGTAGTAGCAGTAGTAGTAGCAGTAATAAAATATAAGTAATGTCACTATCCATACTAAACGCATTCAAAATAACGTGTTCTTTTTATAAACTAGTCTTTCAAGAACTTTACTTCATTTTTTATGTGATAATAGCGTTTTCTTTGAGTGTGTTTGTGTGTGTGTGTGTGTGTGCGTGTTGCTTTTAAATTTCTGTCATTTACCACCGACCATAAAATTGCAACTATGATCCTAATAAGTCAATAAATAGACTTGGATTTAGTATGTTTATTTACTTTCTGGAGATTATTGTTTATTCATCCTGAACCTTGTGTAAGTGTGTGTGTGTACGTTTGTAAGAGAAAGTGATTAAATCAGAGAAATGGAACAAACTTTTAGTTTTACACTTAAAAAGTGATTTATTTTAATAATAATAATAATAATAATATTAATAATAATAATATTAATCATAGCAATAAAATATTGATAATCTTTGGTAAGATGATCTCACCTTCTTGACTTGTGTGTGTGTGTCTATGTGCCTACTTTTTGATTAGCCATACAAAGTCCATTGATTGTGTGCGGCGTTGTTTTCTTTGGAAAAAGATACCATCTATTTTTATAGTAGAGGAAGATATATACAACAGAGATTTATTATATAAGCTAAACTAATATGATATATATATGTAATCTCATATACACTTTCATTGAATACGAAATAAAACAGTTTGTTTCAATTGATAACAGTTCCCTAATATCAGCGGATCGATTGAAGTTAGTTAGAAATGTGAATATGACCGGTTGCTGTGAGCAGACACTTGGTTAAGTAGTAGTCTCAAAATATAGAACAAAATAGCAACTTTCCTGTGCTTTCTGGTTTTTTCCTAGTAATGAAAATTATTTGTTAAAATCAAACACGTAATTGTTTGATCACTGACTAATGATTAATGTCATTATCTGTATAATCGTTAATGCTGACTGAATCTTACTAATCAAGTTGCAACATGACTATTAGTATAAGTAGCTTAACATCGTATACATTATGTTGGTGGCCAGACGTAGTCGAGAGAAAACTCTAGTCGACTTAGATTTGATGCTATTTGACAGTATTATTTTCCTATTCAGGGATTAATCCATTGTGAATCACTCAACCTTACAAGAGGTCAGCCGTGACCCGAATAGCTTGGTGATATAATGTCTTTGTCATTATAGGATTGTGAAAATTGTTGAGTTTCATTGAAATCATGAATCGACCAATGTTAGAATAGTATCAGAAACCCAGTACCTTCGGTTTCGCACGCTAACGCTTAATTTCTAAACCACTGACTATGAAGCTGGAAAAGCAGACTTGGGTCCTACAAGGAATATTAGTTCACGCGAGATTGGATATATTTAATGCTAACGGGTTCCCTTACTGAATATTTTCGGTCACCTAATAAAATCAAATAATCCAAAGAAATTTATCACACCATTGACTTCCAAATTCCATCTTGAGTTGTAAGATCAATGATCAAATCTTCATCATTTTCAGTAAACAGTTTTATACGAAATTTCGTAAAAATAATCATTGATTACGTAGATTTGAATAGTTCCAGTTGCATTTTAAGTAAGTCTTCTAAACTTCAATCGATCATTGAACCAATGTTCTCTAGTGGATTAGATCCCGTATGTTCGGGTTCAAAATCAAAGATGTTACGATAGAGCTACTCAGTCATCCACTGATATCCTATAAAACTGATACGTATTTACAACTGACCGTTCACCGAGTAGTGGTCGATATCATGCATGTTCGGAGTCTAGTATTTCTTGTCAACTACCTCCAACCATTATCTTTCATCTCAACATAACATATGCAATGTTGAGTCACTTGGACTAGTAGCTACATTGCAACTTGGTAGAGGGAGAGAATTCTATCAGCAGCACTAAGAAGCAGTTGATTTACAAGATATTCGTCACTACTCAGTTTTCAATCAATTAAAAATCTTTCAACTGTTCTATTTGTTCAATACAGATCATTTCAATTTTATTACTATGGAGGAATTTACGATGATTGTTACACTTTGTTGGTAACATCACAGACTAATCTTAGTTAAATAACCATTGAAAACCAGCAAGCACTAACACAGTTATTTCATACCAGTATGAGACTCATCAGCATTACATATTGTTAGGTTCGTCACTAAGTATGCTTGAAACTATTACGGGTTCACCTTAATCGATAAAGTAGAACGAGACAATGAATCAGCGTCCAGGTAGGCTATCTTGATCCGTTGACTCGAAACGACTAAAGAGAAGTCTTGATATAGCGTAGAAGGTTTATTCTACAAACACCCAGAAAGCACAATTCAATCAAGCACACAAATCTAGTTTATTTATACATCATGGAAACGTCCTTGGGACAGTCACAAAAATAACATACTAAAATACACAGCATCTATTCACAGCCAAGGATTTTCCTGGTGGGAAATGAAATCTTAAGGTCAACGGATCAGCGCATGAATAAAATCCAAAACAAAGACATTTATCAAGCGAGTTCTGGGGGATCTAACGTCCCCAACACATATCCACAACACTGTCACCGGTTGTCTGACCTAGCATCTTTTATCTTGCTTATAAACACTTAACTTTTCCAGTTGTTTACATATCAAACATCAATTAATCGTGTGTTTTTTTTGTCAACAAATATTTCATTGAATTGGTTTTTAGTTTAAAATGAACAATCATCGAAAAGTTAAACACTAAATAAAACACATAACTAGAATTGAGTTTGATTCTAACAAATCTTATATAGACCGCCATTAGGAACCTGGAGGCACTGGACGGCCATTTCGTCTTGGTACGGGACTCATCAGCAGCACGCATCCACGACTCCTGCTCCTCGCAGAATTCGAACCCGGGACCTTTGGCATTGTAGCCGAACGCCTTACCATCGGACCACTGGGCCGGCATCCGACAGTGTTAATGTCTAACTCTAATTGATCTACGGATTTTGCGCGACCTCACCCATCTGTCTTGGAGTTCAACCCTGTCGGGTGTAGGCAGTAACTACCAAAGACAAATGGGTGAGGTCGCGCAAAATCCCTAGATCAATCAGAGTTAGACATTAACACCGTTGGATGCCAGCCCAGTGGTCCGATGGTTAGGCGTTCGCGCACAATACCGAAGGTCCCCGGTTCGAATCCTGCGGGGTGCAGGAGTCGTGGATGCGCACTGCCACTGATTAGCCCCATTCCAGGACGAAACAGCCTTCGAGTGCTTCCAGGTTTCTTATGGTGGTCTAACAATGATTGTTTGATTGATTGATGATTTCAAATGTGTAAGAAAAACACAAACCCCAAAACTGTGCCCCAAAATCTTATGTAGTGTTGTTACGTCGTCAATTCTCATAGTTTTCCACTATACAATGCATGATTCGATATTTATTTATTTATTTTTACACATTTATTTATTCTACTTGACAAGTTTCATTTTGACATATATTGGTTTTTGTTTATTTAAACACAGATATCTGTCTCATACATCGAAAGTTCGATTTGTGCCAGAAGGTGCATCTTGTGCACCTGATCGTTATTGTTTTCATCAAGAATGTGTACTACCACATGTTGGTTTTCATTCGAATTGTCCAACTGGTCGAATAAATAAACAATTAGAAAATGGACATATGATCTATGAAAATGTGACATGTTCTGATCATGGTGTAAGTGAATATCTATCTATCTATCTATCTATCTATATGTATATATACATTTGGGGGGGGGGACGGGGAGTCAGAGAGGAGGAGGACTATTTTATTGAATGAGTTTTTTTGATTGTTTATACAAGTATACTACATATAAACTTTTCCTATAAATAAATGAATAATTACTTTTTTCATTGATACTGATCTATTTCTGTCTGTCTGTCTGTCTATCTATCACATATGTTTTGTGCCTATTTCAAATTGATCGAAACACAAAAAATGATTTCAATGGTAATTTCAGCATTACATTCTATTCAACTTTTAGAATTATACATTTTTTTCGCAGTCAGTTAAAAAGTGATACAAACTGTGACATATATATATATGGTCGACTTATGACGCAATACTACAATTAGCATCATTACATGAAATGAAATGAACCAAATGAATAGAAAAAACTTTCTAAATAGTAGCATTGATAAGGAAGAAGAAGAAGATTAGACATTGAGAATGTATTTTGATAGAATAGTGATTGATCTAAAAAATGTTAGTGTATTTGTTATAACCTTGAATTTACCCTGATCATCTTTAAGCCGAGGGTAATGTGACAATTTTCCTACCCTTTCTTATTCTTTTCATATTATGTTAATTTTCTCTCTCCTTTATATTTACAATGATCACCTTATATCTAATTGAAATTTTATTTAATTGACCTTTTATTAATCGATTGATCGATTCATGGTTTCAAAAAATGTGTAACTTAACAATCTTCACAACCCCGTAATGCAAATTACCTGTACTCACTAGTGACTAGCTTCGTGAGGAATCTTCTCCAAGTTCTAGTGGGAAGACGTGACCAGTGAAGTTCAACCTGTTCGGGTGTAGACAGTAACTACCGAAGACTGTGTATGAGGTTGCACAACTCCGTGAATTGATCAAGTTAGACATTACCACCCTTAGATACCGGCTCAGTGGTTCGATGGTTAGGTGTTCGCGCACAATACCGAAGGTCCTGGGTTCGAATCCCGCGGGTTGAAGGAGTCGTGGATGAGCACTGCTGAGGAGTCCCATACCAGGACGAAACGGCCGTCCAGTGCTTCCAGGTTTCTAATGATGGTCTAACATTGATCGATTCATGGTTTCAAAAGTGTGTAACTTTTATTAATCTTCATATGAAATGCCATGACGAGTGTACATGTGTGTGACCAGACTGTTCGAGATATGTATAGCGCAAATACATCACATTATTTTTCAGATCAATTACGTCTTCTCACTGTTCTATCAAAATTTATATAAAAGGAACTAATTATTTTAAATTGAGAATGTAGTTGGAAAAGACGAAAAAAGAGGTAAAGTATGCAAGAATGCTAGAACTCAAAGTGTGTGCGCCATCGTAACCGATTCTGAGCTACCGCATCGAACACCACCAACCAACCTGATCACGGTTATTTCGCTGACCTCAACCATGAAATCGGTATCCTATCATCATGATTCAAACCGACAATTAATGATTGGTATGAATTAATATTGTATGTCTTGAATTGTCCATCCCTCACTGTTTTCCAACTAATCAATATGGTTTGTCGAGGTAGATGTTGGTTTAACATAGTTAACTTAACAAATATCTCAATCATGCCAGTTGATAAACGTGTACAACTTCATCTTTATCTAATATCCTAAACCATTCCTAACCACAAAATGGCCAACACTAATTATAGAATATTTAACACTACATATTAGTATATTACACAACTACTATTCATGAGGCTAACCGCAAAATCATACACTACTCACACTCATGAAATATCTCAAATAAATCTTAATAACAAGTTGAAAAGGGAGGCAGTAATTTAATGAAAATCTTAAAGATTTTATCCAATATGTATATCTATCTATCTATCTATCTAATTTGTTTATTACAAAAATAATTATTGTATAGCAAGTTAGAAAAAAAATTATCCAACTGAACACAACATCAAATTTAGACATAAATGAAATAATTTCACTTTTCTTCTAAATTTTTATCTTTCGGTATCTAATGAAACACACACACACACACACACACACAGAGAGATGATTTGTGAATTATTAACAAGAACATACCACAAGTTTTACAATCTTGACAAAGTTGACATTTGAATTGCACATATAGATAGATAGATAGAAGAGAAAGGGGCAGTGTTGTGTTATAGATCTATGTGATATAGAACAGCTTTTTATGTGTTATTTTGTAGTGATTCAAATTAACTAATCATGTAATGTAACTAGTTTTTCAAAGATTAGATACAGTGATTGTGAAATCACTTATCTTAATTGAAAAGTATATTCTTTGAATATGTAGTGTTCCCCTCTCATCAGACTTAACTTTCTATGATTACATTTTGTTGTGTAATATTAGCAAGTTGATGATAATGTCATAAGTGATGACATTTGGGCAAACTATAAGTGATAAAATGTAATCAATTACATTTCCAATCACGATACGAAAAAAAAAATCAATAATTTGTTGGTAACATTCACTTGACCAGTTATATGTTACAATACAGTTCATGTGTTCTGTGTCGAGAATGAAATGCAGTCAATGAGGAAATTCTTTGCAAGAAATTTTAAATTCTCAGTTATATGTGAAGATCTTTTTAAAAGACAAGTAAACAATCATTGTTTTTTGAAAAATCAGAGGTATTTTTAGATTAGATTCGATAGTTGAATGAAAAGTATTCATAAATCCTATCTGTAGAAAACATAACTAGAAATTCTCTTAGTCAGCAGAGTTTAATGATTCATTGAAAATGTTTGAAAGTTGACTAACTTACTACAGAATCCAAAATGTTGTGTTTCATCTTATTTGTAATGGATTACTTGGAATGACCGTTCAACCAAGTGTAGATATTCACATTCAGCTTGGAATCTTCTAAACAACAAATAATCACATTACAGTTTAGAAAAAAATTGATTGTTTTTTAATGATAACAATCATCCATTTATTGATTTATTGATTTTTGTTTGATTATCTTTTTTTTTTATTTCAAGTTGTGTACCAATGCTGGTTTTTGTCTATGTCATCCTAAATGGACTGGTAATGCTTGTGAACTGTCAGTAGTTAGTATGAATACATCCACTATTATTGCTACTACTGCTGCTACTGCTGCAAACAATCGAAATGATATTTTATCAAATTCATCTACCATTTCAATTCATCAACAGCAGCAACAGCAACAGAATCCATTAAGCCCTGAAGTGATTCAATGGATATGGAATTATTTGGAACAAATGCAAAAATCTTATGGAACTACTCGTGATTATCAATTGAAACGTTTTAGTATGTGATTTTTTCTTGGTTTTTTCTGAGATTGAAGTTGTTTACCATAAAAATATGCAGTTAGTAAAATATGTGAGTAGATCAAGAACGAGAGAGAGAAAAAGAGCAAGATAGCGGACCTCGACCGTCTAAGTTTGTTTAGTTATTTCTATTTCAGTCAGTCAGTGGCAACATAGAACTTCGTACGTACGTATATACATCAGTTCAAGTAGCTACAATACATTAGCACAGAGATGCAATTGTCAGTTCAAATCCCATAATGTTACTGGTAGTAGAAGTATTAGCAATATAATGGAGAAGATTAGGATATAAAGATATGATTCGAGAAATATAATCCAGTGAAATAAATTTAATAACAGAACATAAAAAAAAGATCATGAGAGAAGACAAAAATGGATGCATCTGAGCTATGTCATTCAAAGTCTCTAACCATCGGTTACGATCATCTCGCGTGCCTCAACCAGGTAGTCTACACCTACTAACATGGCTTAATCCAGTTGTCATTGACTTCATGGATTTTCGCCATGTTTTTGGTTTGACTACCCTTAGCTTTTTTCCAACTTTTTCTGTTTCCAAGGATTTGTATTTTGTTGGTGTCGATATCTAGGGCTGAAATTGATCATTGTTGGCATGTGTGCATTCTAAGAAAATTGTTCCTATAATTCTATTAAGTCATAAGTTTATCAATAAATTTTGATAGTGACTAGTAACACAATCTAGGCGGTATATTTCTTTCTGTCTATAACTAATCAGATGTATGTACTTGCACCTTAACATTGAATGCTTCAGTGTGGCGACAGACACTTTTATACAAGTTCATGTAGCTAAGTGCCCTTCCTGGATTCCTCTGCTAATCACAAAACTGATCTGTTCGTTCTTTTTTTTTTCTGTCAGAAAACAAAACGTTTTGTTTTACAAATTCTAGATTACTGCTAATTGTTTCAGCTTCAAATTCATGAGAATAAGCATAACTGATTCAAAATAATCTACACATATATTCCATTGTGTCTTTGTGTTTGTTTCTACAGTTTAGTTAGTCAATTAAATGACATCTTTCTGACCTTGACAAGTAAAGTATAAACCAGTTAAGTGATTTATATTATCTGACACGAATCAATATTTACACACTATTAAGATTTTGACTAAAATAAATCAAGCAACCATACTAATTAATATCAGCACACATATTTGTATGGAGATACATGATCGAATGCATAATTATTTGAGAATAGTATGGATATGGTGCCGCGTTAATAGACTAATGAAATCATATTTCCTACATTTGATTAGCCTTGAAATAATCGGCAACTGAAATTATGAGTATTTATCTTTGCAATTTCAAACTAGAAAGTGACAACTGTTCAATCATTCCCTCTCTAGTTGATGATATATATATATATATATATTCGTTTTTATCATAAAACTCAACTTAAAAGCTGTTACTTACTAAGGACAAGGTAAACATGACACTAGTCTCAGTATTCAATGAACAATTAATCTAAATATCTCAATCCGAATAGGTAGTTAACTTAGTGGTAGCATCGCTAACTGTAAAACTGAATGATGTAGATTCGAATTCTACATAAGATATCAGTTCCATGAGGATTACGATCAATCCTTACTTGCGAGTACTATCTGGTACTCGATTTAAGTATATATAATGAACTTCTCAAGAATAACGAAATTAAATTATGCTTTAAGTTTTCTGACTGCAGTATCTCCATCGTTTATTCATTGAGAGTAGTGACGAAAAATTTTAGAAAATGACTTTTCAAAGTTTTATTGACTACCTGTTGTTAACCATTGATCAAGTCAAAATCAACTATACTATTTATGTGAACTAGTTATCGTTGTGTGATAGTGATCGATCATGGTCACTCACTATTTCGAAAGGGAATGAACTGATTTGTTTTTTAAAAAAAAAAGATGTTTATTCCAATTTAGCTTTTAAAAGATAATGCGCTCGTCACGTGATACGAAAGTCTATAGTGCTGGATCCTTAATGGTAAAGTTGTAAGTGGACACTGTTGACGAGTTTCAAACTGGCTCTATAACTTCATAGCATCAGTTCATGCATGATCCAAAATAATCTCAAATTAAATTATCATCATAAACCTTCTTATTTTTACATTCTATGTACTTAAATAATAAATATTTCCAACTGATTACTGGCCCCGTATTCAAAATATATCAAGTTAATAATATCAGATGATGGAAACAAAGTTTCATCCCCCTTCTGCACCCTCATCTCTTAAGAAATTCAATGAATAAGACTTCATAACCCTTATTCATGAAAATTTCACAAATGAATTATGGGATTTATTTTGATAAACAATTTTAGATTGAAAGAAAGGTCATACGTGGCTAGACTATCTATATAAAGTCATTTAAGTTATAATGATCGTTTGTCTGGAGATTTAGTAGAAATTTTTTTTTATCTTTCTGATTGTGTTGTGAGTTCATGTTAGTATTTTTTAAAAAAAATCGATCATTGGAGAAATTATTGACAAGAAACTATATTCCTTGATTATATTTTATACAAATTTTAAATAACTCATCATTAGGAGTTTTTCGGTGTCAAGTTTCATCTGTAGATTGTATTAATCATAGAATCATCTAAATTGATGTATCATTCGAGATCAGAGTGCATTAGACAGCTGTTTTGTCATAGTATGAAACTTTCAAAGACCTTTAGTTATCATGATGTTAAGTGATAGTCACTCAATCCCACTGAATTCCACCAGTCATGACTACTGAGTAGAAGTTCAAAAATATTTTGAACGAATTCAAAACTGAACTGACTATGATTATTTGATAAGAAGGTTTTGTGAAGATTGGCTTCATCCATAGATTGTATTCGTTACAGATATCCTTCCTATTCACCTTATATTAGTGCACACTTATGATATTTCGTTGTATTTATTTGTTAATGTAGTTTTTCAACGTTTTCTGATCAAATGCCTAGAAGTCAATCACCTTTTCTATCTAGTTGTATTGTTCTTACTATATTGATATTCAGTGGTCAAATGATGACGGTAGCTTTAACTGATGATGTATATTTCTTCTCGGTTCCAAATTGTTTGTGATTGATTATTACTTTGGATCAGCAGATTATTGTGCACAATTCTATGTCAGTCAGCCAGTCAGCTACAACGTAGAATTTCGTACGTACAGCAGCTCAAATTTCTATACCACATTAGCACAGAGAGATGGAATTGTCACTTCAAATCCCATAGTAGTAGAAGTATCAGCAGTCATCGGAAATTTTAGGGTTTGACGATATTATTCAAGAAGTAGAATCTAGTGAAATAAACGTGGAAAGATAAAGTTGATGAGGAATTCAGAAGATCAGGGTTTAAGACAACAAAAACAATTAAAACACACGTGCCATTGCAAACAGCTTTGAGCCATGCCATCCAGGGTCTCTAACCATCTGTTACGATTGTCTCACAGACCCCAACCAGGTAGTCTACATCTACTAACACAGCTCAGACCAGTCGCTAATGACTTTATAAATTTGTGTTGGGTTGGTCTGGCTACCTCTAGCTCTCTTCAAGCCCAATCCTACCTCAGACTACATTGCTCGTCGAGGAATTCGGTGGTTGAGTATAGGTTTTATATATCCCAATCACCTCAACTGAGGAAGTTTCACTACCACATCTATTGATCTGCCATTCATTAATAAGACATAGACATTGATTTTTTATATTCGGATGATGTCTTAAGAGTCATTGTAAATAGTTAATTAATATTATTATTATTATTATCAACCTTTTATTCAGTAGAGGATTTTATAAATAAATGACTTCCATATATGTACTTAGTTCAACCATGTTAAATAATTGTAAATTGCACTGGTTTGAACCCATCAGAAATTATACATATCTGTCATTTTTTAAGCAAACTGATATCACCTCTACCCTCAAAGATCTAAACATCTACTTAAGAACCAAGCAATCATCGGATAACTGTTTATGTCATGTCTACTGGTCTTCTTTGATTGATCAGTGATTAAAAGTTTAAGTGTCAGACAAGCGATCGATAGAAATCGGCATTAGTTTATAGTCTGACTATTAACGTTATTGGTGTTTTATACAATCAGAATTATTTAACTGACAGTTAATCAGTTGTTTTTCCTCTCTCTTTCTCTTTCTTTTCATTGTTACATTCAGATTATGACAATAATCATAATAATAATAATGGAAGTTATAAAGCTCCATTGAATACATTATATTTAATTTGTATACTTGGAGTTGTTGTTGGTGGTGTATTTCTATTTTTGGCAATTTTTATGTTTATTTACAGGTTAGTTGATAATTGTTTTACTTTTTTTGTGTATGTACATTTTGAACAACTTTAATCATCAAAGAAAACAGAAATTAGTTGATTTTGTACAAGAAATCGATGTTTCTTATTTCTGATAGTTCTATTAATTGTTATTAATAATTGCAAGAAGTTCGAGATGATCCACTGAGTGATTAACGCGTATAACTTTCAACTATCAAGTAGCATATTCAAGTTCCCTTCTAACTAGTTTATTTTGAACAAGTGACTAGTATCACTAATTAGATACTTGAAGGTAGTTGGCAGGAACTTCTATTCAATATAGATTTCTTACTAACTAAAACATAACAGTAATCTTCAAAAAAAAAACTGATGTTTTCTGGCTAATTCCAATACGCATTATTCAACTTTATAGTCTGAGATGCTGTCACTGAATCATTTGGACTGCCACAGATAGAAATTTCGTTAGTATCAATTGTTGATTAAATGTTTTCAGAAAAGTCTCATTTACGATACAATAAATAGTTTTATGAACAAGTAAATATTAAGTTACATTTTGTCATCCTCACTGAAATAAGTTAATCATCTTCAACGACGAAGTCAACTGATCGCTCAATCTTCTTTCATCAATTTACAATTATGTATAATTAAAATGTGTTAACCAAGGTGTACAATCATTCTAATTCGGTTATCAGCGCAAACTGTGCTATTTTCTGATTGGTTGTTGTTACTTTTAGTTTGTAAATCTTCGTATTTCAAGGTCATGTCTCATGAATATAAACATATCATAGTTTCACCTTGATTTTGTCTTCGTTAAACATCACTTTTTTTAAAAAAATATGATGCTACTTCCTTTGAGGGTTCATCACTAGAAACCAATGTTGCATTGCACAGCAGCATTGAGTTTGTATAAGAATAATCTCGGTGGCTGGCAATTAAGAAAATTTATAATTAGGAGACAGTTGAAAATATTTTTAGCTCAAGTGGATGATAATGATGGAGTCTCATTCTCTAAGCTGGATGTTTTGGTTGTGGAGCTTTTATTGTCCTGCCGAATAACATCATCAGTACAAACTTCAGGTAGAAGTTTATTTCTACGATTATTTTCTACAACAAATAACAATGATCATTTAAAGCAGGCTTGATAACCTGCTTCTCATTTGCCATTTACTTATTTTAACAACTTTCATACGAACTGTGTGTTAGAACTCATTAAAGTGTACAAGATAATTGTATTTAAATATCCTCCATTAGGCCTGAAGGGTCTGGATTCGATTCTCAATGGAGTTGTAGAGTTGCTCACTGCTGAAAAGTTTTTTGGTGAGCAATGTATCACTAGTCTCGTGACGGTCGGTATCCAACGCGTTCCTAGACTTCGTAATATGCTCGTCCAGATAATCGTAACTAAATAAAGACTGACGCTTTTAAATCAGGAAGTGAACACGAAGTGTTGAATACGTTTATTTTGGGACACCACAAATGGACCAGCGGACCACAAGCACACAGAGCAGAGCAAGCACGCTGGTGAGCGAATCGGCGAATGTATTAATAATATAAGAATGTACAGAAATATGCATAGGAAAATGGATGAGTTATCGACATATTTAAGAGATTAATATTAAAGTGAATAGGATGATTATTCATGTAGGCAGTAAGCAACGTTCAGCTCATACAAACTATACAATAATAAAAGACAATGGTACATATAAGTTGTTGCTATACAAATGGCTTGGTTAAATAAGTTAATCGAAAGGCTTAACCAAATCACATATAAACGAACTCAAATGTATGTGAAGGCACTACAGTTTCATGCCACGACGGGACAACTATCTATTTTCCACTAGTTTCCAATGTTGTCTTGTCTGTAATTAGTCTATAATGTACAAAGATGATAGTAATAATAATAATACTTACTAATTTCACACCTAAACATCGACAAATGTATATATATACATAACTTGTCATCATATTATTATCTTTTGATGAGACAATAATCATAAAAATAATTTCCTTAAACATCACTAAACTTTCTAATCGTTTGTTTATTATTTACTTCTCTCTGAAACAAATTTCAACCTTCTTTCTTTTCACTAAAATTAGACGACGAGGTCGATCCAATATTTTTGGCAAAGCTTATTATAACAATAATCATAATAATCATAGAAATTTTAGTGCATTTAGTAGATGTGATCGTCATCGTCGACGTGGTCGTTGTTGTCGAACTAATCAAAGCAATGCTGATCTATTATCACCACGTTCTATGAAACATCATGTTGGTTCATTACGCTTATTTAATACAATTGATTCTAATTCAACAGAATGTCAAGAATTACAAAATTCAATGTATGATCGATCAACTTTCAGTGGTAGTGGCAGTGGGGTTGGCGGTGGTGGAGGTGGAGGTGGAGGTGGAGGTAGTTGTTGTAGTAGCAATCATGATAATAAAACAGGAAATGATCGACATAGTCAACATGAAGACTGTTCACGACGTGTTCATGGTCGTACTGGTAAGAGCCGTAATCGAGATTTAGATTGTCATCATCATTCAGAGTATAATAATGGAAGTAAACATCGACGTAGACAACATTATCGTAGTAGTGGTGGTGGTAGTACTAGTCATGGGATGAAAACTAAAGAAGAATTATCAAGAAAAAAGAAATTTGATCGTAAACATAAATCATCTAGTCGAACTAGTGCACCAGGAAGTAATGATACAAAATTATTAGAATCAATTGAAGGACAACAATATGGGAATAATTTTTCTGATACTGAATTAACTTATAAACATTCGAATATTAATCATAATCATAATCATGATCATGATCATGAAGAATTGAATAATAGTATGGATCGAATAATTAAATTTGGTAGTATGCCGTCATATAAGTAAGTTATAGTGTTTCTGTTATTTTTTTGAAAAATTTATTTGAATGAGCGAACTGCTGTGCAGTACACTCGTCCTTTGATTAGCAAATGGAGATCTCGCTGGCGCCACAGGTGATGCAAGTTGGCAAAAGCCAATCGAGCTTTCTGTATCGGCACTGATGAAACTCCCCCCCAGATAAGTGAAGCAATCAACAAGTTCAACTACTTCATCCCCTATCACTAGTTCAAGTGCCGATGCGACCCAATATTGAAGCAACATTTTGCATTTAGAGAGGGAAAACCGCATCCCGAACACGCTTGCATTGTTGCTTAGGTTAGTCAGAAAACTCTGAAGAGTTCTGGTGAGAAGTTGTGACCGAAGGAGTTCAACCGTGTTGTGAAAATTGTCACAAAATATCGTAAATTGATTGAACTTGCACTTTGTACATCACTGAATTCCATCTTAGTGATCATTTAGAGGTTAAGCATTCGTATGCGAAGCCAGAAGTTCCGGGCTGTATCCAATGCGTCGGAGTCTTGAAAACGCACTGTTAAGTAGCCTCAAACTGGGACTTGTTAGGATGTTGAATACTTATCAAGAATATTGTGACTGTTTAGATAAAGAATTATAATAATAATAACTGTGAAAAACGGTTTTATAACATGACATGGTAAAATGATAGAAAACATAATCTACTGACAGCGTTGAGTTAACTGATCACATATGAAAATAACACCTCGTGTAAATTGCACAAAATTTAGAGTTCAGTGACAGATAACTTATAATCGGTCTTTAAAATCAATAGAAGTTTTTATGATGCAAACAGAAACCCGAATTTAAAGTAATCGTACCTAGGTTCAATTACAAAACATACCTACTTCTAAAATAGATTGGGCATTAAAGTATATGCGAGCACTTTATGAAGCTATATAGTATTCTTCCATTCTAACTCTTATTCTAAATCTCAACTGTAAATTTCTCAAGCTTTTGAATGGAGCGGTGACAAAGTATTCTATCGTAGCTAATGTAATCTCGTGATGAAACTCCTAAGCCTAATTTGTAAATCCAACTCAGAAAACTACAGCTTAACTCCTAAATACCCAATCCAAACTTTTTGGCATCATATCTGGTGTCATTCGGTAATGAAAACTCTGTGAAGTAATAAGCCACACTTCTATTATGTAAACTTATTCTGATTTTCTTTTAATACAATAAATCGTCATGTAAATGTTAATTATTCAAATCAAAGCTACTAGCCCACTGTTATTTTGATTGTATTATACTGTTAATGATTTCATAACTAGGTAGCGTTTCCTGAATGAATGATGATAGGTCGTTCAAGATTGTCAGCATATTATATTACACTTTTATTGATCAAATTTTGAGACTAACATGAAATGTAATCATAGATGGTATAGAAATAAAGCATAATCGGTTGAAAATATAAATGCACTAAAGAAAGAGAGGGATTTTCAGATTAAGGCTGAAGACATCCTCGAATATGTTTCTTATGTGTGTATAACCCTGACTTTTCTAGTTGTATGAAGAAGGCTTTTAAAATGTGAATGGGAACATAGAAGCTCATTGCCTTTGATAAGTTACATTTTGTTGATAAGTATGAACGTTCAGTCTGCTTTGATAGAATGACTTATGTTCCTAAGGCTTTCAATTATCATGATTCCTATGAATCATACAATTCTAATTACTTGAAATTACTTTCAAATCATAAGGATATTTATCAGTGAAAATATATAACCTTGATATTGATTCACCAAAATCATTCTATATACACATTGAATTTCATTTAGTGCTCTTTTTTTATTTTCTTTCTAAATATTGATGTTCACTGATTGTTCAGAGAAGATAAAATAAAACAATTGAAACGAACAGCTGATATACTTCCTTCAAAATCATTAAAAACTGGACATTCATTAAGTACTAGTGAAAATACTGTCTATTTGACAGATTCAACAGATATGACTGTTAGTTTACCAAATTCTAAATCAGATGTTGTACCAATTTGTAGTACACATACACCTTCACTCATTGAACCTCTTGCTGCTGCTGCTACTAACACTACTACTACTTATAGTAATATTAGTAGCAATAAACGTAGTACTCATCAAAAATCAACATTATATGGATCAGTCAGTGTTGCATCACCATCACCACCACCACCAACAACAACAACTACATCAACTGTTATTACATCCTCTTCATCTTCATCCACTGTACCACCGTTATTCCCATTCTGTTCAACTGCATATTCGGAACCAGTTTCATTAATATCACCACCAATAACTTATTTACCAACGGATGATTTAACTATTCAAACTACACTGTCTAATTCAAATCAAAATTCATTATTATTACGTAATGTAACAACAGCTGCATTAGTTGGTGCAGGTCGAGCTGGAGCTAATGCTGCCGCCGCTGCTGCTGCTGCAGCCGCCGCCGCCGCCTCCGCAGCAGCAGCATCAACATCCACTACATCTACTGGATTATCAGATATTTTGTCATCTAATAACAACACTATGTTAATTGACACAGTTTCTCCAATAGATACATCAAACAATACAATGAATGATGTAAGTAAAAGAAATATTACTTTATTTTTTTTTTCTCTAATAGCCAATGATAACTATTCACTGTACTGTATGTAATAGGGCTTATTTTGTAACTATTCTGTTTTATTTCTTATTATTGAAATAGTATATATATATAGTCTGTTCAATAAATCAAATGAACTAAGTTTACTACAAGTTATCTCATAGTTATTATGTAGGCGATAATTTCAATACAATGTTGAAGTTAACTTTTAAATCAATTGTTTAAATTTCATAAAGATTATTACTATTCATAATATCATATAAATTGTAGTTGATGAGACGATGAAAAGTCACTTACTTACCTAGTTACTTACGCCTGTTACTCCCAGCGGAGCATTGGCCCCTGACCAGCATTCTCCACAACTTACTCTGTCCTAGGCCTTTTTTCCTAGTTCTGTCCAACTGTTGTTCATTCTTCTCATGTCTGTCTCTGTTTGTCGGCGTAACGTGTTCCTTGGCCTCGAGGATTCTAGATAGTGGCTTGTCTTGTGATGCAGTTGGGTGCTTTCCTCAATGTTTTTCCTATCCATTTCCAACGCTTCTTCCTGATTAATTTAGGTACATGAAATGATGTTATAATCACGTGATAACTAATGTTTTAAAATGATGATGTAACGGCTAAACTATCACCCACTTCGAAAGTTGGTCAGTTGAAATTCGATTTTGTGGACAAGGTGATATTGAGAGAGGTATGAAGGCGGTCGCCACTCCCCGGTTCTTCACGATGTAAAATAATGCTTCTTCAACGAAGTATCTCTAAAAGAAAATTGGTTGCCTTTAAGCGTAAACGCTGTGCATAACAAACGACTAATTGAGCCTAGTAACAAACGACCTATTTAAAAGTAGTGTGTTTGCTTGTTAATTTAAAAGCTTTTTCATCCACGACAACAATTTATGGGTTCCAACGATGTATTCTATTTTTACGCACACCTTTTTTGTGAAAAAGTAACATAAGTGTAGATTCTGATTATATATAAGCTACACCTCCACTACCGTTTATATCTCAGTCCGAATGGAATTATGACTTCGCCCCTCAGAATTTTGGTTTTTTCTTATCGACCTGTTCGAAATAGAAATGAATGTTCAAACCAATATAGCTATAGTAGATCATCACAATATTGAAGTTTAAACATAACTTCAACGTAGAAGTTACAGTCAGAAATTGGTTAGTAGTGTCACCGGTGTATCTAGCTTGAAATGAAGGATAAACTCAGCTCGGACACAGAAGGCTCGGTTGGCTTTTGCCAACCTGCGTCACCTACGTCGCAGGCGAGATATCCGCTCGCTAGTCAAAGGACGAGTGTACTGTGCAGCAGTTCGCTTCTTCCTACTGTACGGATGCGAAACATGGCCGTAAAAAGTAGAAGACTTTCGTAGGTTACTGATCTTTGATCATCGATGTCTCCGAAGCATTGCTCATGTATCCTGGGACAACCGTTCAAGCAATGCTGTCATTAGGAAACAAGTTCTAGGTAGGGATGGCAAATCAATAGATGAAGTGGTGAAACTTCATCAGTTGAGGTGGTTGGGACATGTGTTACGTATGCCTAACCACCGACTGCCTCGACGAGCTATGTTTTGCAGTGTAGGAGTAGGTTGGAAGAAAGTTAGGGGCGGCCAGACCAAAACATGGCACAAATCCATGAAGTCACTGACAAGTGGACTGAGTCATGTTGGTAGATGTAGACTACCTGGTTGGGGTCCGCGAGACGAAAGTCACCGATGGTTAGAGAGCTTGAACGACATGGCTCAGAATCGTTTGCAATGGTGCAGGTGCGTCCACTGTGTGTTTGTGTTCTCTAAAATTCTAACCTTCTCAGTTCCTCATCATCTCTATCTTTTTCCTTCTAAATTTATCTCACTGAATTATACTTTTCGAATTATATCTTCGCTCCCTAATCTTCTCCATTACTGCTAATACTTCTACTATCGTTACCATTATTGGATTTGAACTGACAGTTGTGTCTCTGTGCTGATGTTGTATGGCAACCTGAACTGATGTACATATGCACGAAGTTCTGCGTTGTATCTGTCTGTCTGTCTGAAATGAAGAATGTAAGCGTGTATTTGACAAATGATTTATTATAGTAAACTACTGCCTCTAACCTGTATAAGGTTATCATATTAAAATTTCAATTCTTCTTCTTCTGCTTCTTCTTCTCAATGTATTATGTGTAATGAAGTTTCACTTTGAATTGACATCATAAACCATCACTATTTATTTCTTTACTTATTCATTCATAGACACAATTTAATATTATGATGGAGAATTCATGGCGTCAACCAGAGAAAGGTATTTTAAAGAATAAAAATGAAGGTGGTAGTTATCATGTGAATAATTCATCATCTGTCAACACTTCAACTAATCGTCGACAGCATAGACGATCTTCATCATCAATCAATCATCAAAAACATCATCATCATCATCATCGTCATCGATCCAATAATAAACATTCAAAATCATCACGTAGTCATCATCATCATCATCGTGCAACGAATACAAATACTACCGCTATCGATAATAACAATGATATTAATATGTTGAACAGAAATGATTCATTCTCTGATTGTTCTTGTCATTTATATGATCATGAGAAAAAATCAAGAAAAAAACATCAAAATCATACTGATCAAGATGATAATGATTTACTTCATCATCATCATCATTCACGTCGTCACCCTCATCATCATAGTCGAAGATTATGTCGAAAATGTCAAAATACTAATAATAATAATAATACAATAACTAGTCGTTCAGCCAGTGTAAATGATGAATGTTTACACTCGGAATTTTGTCCTTCTATGTTAAATGATGTGAATAATAAAAGTCCAAGCGGTAGTTCATCGGTATCATCAAATCATGGTTTAGAATTTTTGGCATCATCCTCCTCCTCATCATCATCATCATCGTCACTCACTGGAACATCGTCATCTGCATCTTCATCACTCACTGATTTAGAGCATCATCATCATCGTTCTTGTCATCGTGATCATCGTGATCATCATCATCATTGTCACAATGATGATGTGGAAGTGGGTAGTTCAAATTCATCATTATCATCATCATCGACTTCATCATCTACTACAAGTACTTGTTCCACTGCATTCGAAGTGAATTTAATCAAAAATACCAATCAACAACCAACACAACACCAACACCAACAAGGATTAATTATTCTGACAGATAAAACAATTGATCAAAATCATTCGAAACTAAAACAATTCGATCTAATCAATGATAAATTGAATCGTTCTAATCAACAATTAAAAAATCATGAACATATTGATTGTTATTTAGAGAATCATTGTCAAACTATTCGACGTGTTAATGGTAATAACAATAATGATAATGTTGGTGAAAATTCTGTCCATAGTGAACAAGAGGTTTGTTTTTAAATTAATCTAACCTGTATACAATAATAATAATAATAATAATAATAATAATAATGTTAGTCAGCTAAAACGTAGAACTTCGTAAGTACGAACATACGTACATCAGTTCAAGTTACCATACTACATTAGCACAAAGAGATGGAATTGTCAATTCAAATCTCATAGTAGTAGATGTAGTAGAAGTATTACTGGTAATGCAGAACATTAGAGTTCGAAGATATTATTCAAGAACTATAATCCAGTGAGATAACTTTAGAAAGAGAAAGATAGAGGTGATGTGGAACTCAGAAAATTAGAATTTGAGGGAAGGCAAACAAGGGATGCATCTGTAACTTTACAAACGATTTTGAGCCAAGGTCACTAACCATCGGTTACAATTGTCCTGACCACCCCAACCAGGTAGTCGACACTTACCAACCAACATGGCTTAGTCCAGTTGTCAGTGACTTCATGGATATTTGTGCCTTTGAAATCCTGATTAATTTGTTTTTGACGATGTTTTGGTTTGTCCACGCTTATCTTTCTTCCAATGTACCCCTACATCACAAAACATTGCTCGTCGAGGTAGTTGGTGGTCAGGTATGCATCATAATAATATTACTAATAGTTGTATTGGATTAATAAACAAACTAAGATTAATTAAAAATGTAATTAACGTGAGTGGTGCTTAACCTATAGACCATTAAGTCCAATATTCAACAGTCTACATCTCAAATTAACTTAGTCTATGATTAACCAGTTCATAGTCGACATGATTAAATTCTCCTCATTGATCATTTATTGCTAGTCACTAGGACTGAGAGCCATTGTCTTTTGAACTTATTCACTGATAAACACATATACTGTCCAGCGCTTTCTAGTTTCCAATGATTATCTCGATCAATTTTGTTTGTGATTTTTGTGTAAACTATGAAATTGCAAAATCTCCACTAACCCTTGTACTATTGTCAACATCATGCAGTCAACTTTGCTCCTCTTCCCCCCCCCCCACTATATTTTTTAGAATTTCACAATCATTTCGATATTAATACTAATGATACAAAGCTTATTTACATAAGTATAGATAACTCCCTAGAAAAAATTCATGAGATATTGCAAAATTATTTACGTAAAATATAAACTTGAAAATTTATTTGTCAGACAATGAAATTAATACCTGACTATGTGTATTACGGTATGATCTTCTTTTGTTGTATAATCCGACAATTCAGTTATGAATGGAAATTTATATTGTGAAGTTACCTTTTATCTTATTGATCAACAATGTATCGATGAAAATAAGAGGAACCTCCCTCCCACACATACACATTAAACGTGTCGAACTGCAAATAGCATTGTATTATTAGTAAAAATTTAAATCACAACTTATGTATAGATAAGGCAATTAAAATCATTGATTATCTATTTTCCCTATGATATAGAATCAACGTAGTTCTCGTCGACACAATCGTAAACATCACCGACGTCATTGTCGTTATCGTAAACATCATCATGGACATCATAAACATCATGATGAATCATTATCGAATCATGAAATTTCTGGAACAATCAATAATCTTACCGGTGAATCATTAGGATCTTCTTCTACTAGTACAACAAATAATTGTAATTCTGGTCTTTCTGAAGCATCTTCATCATCTTCTGGATTGACAACAATTTCTCATCATCATTGTCGACGTTCACGGACACGAAGTATGACGACAGATGAAGATTATACAACATCAGGTTCACGTAGAAGTAGTCCTTTACCACCAGCTCCAACAATATTATGTAATGTAGGCCAACAAACTGATGAATTTAGTTTATTAAAAGTAGCTGGTCTTACAATATCATCTAAAATTGGTAAGCTTACTTACTTACTTACTTACTTACTTACTTACAATTGATTTGACTGTTTGCTTCAATCTCTAACATTTTATGAATATTTATTCAGTGTACTTACATACTTGTAATTTATTCTGTCTTATACATCGGTTGTAAAGTGAACAGTACAGCTGGAAAATAAGTATATATGCATTTATCTAGTAAATAAGTAACACTAATTATTTATTCATTTGTACTGCTAATTTAAATCTACTCATTGATAGTTAAGTTTGCAATTGGTTAGTCGATTTTGACATTTATGCATCTTGTATGGATTGCCTCGATTTAGCCGTTTGGTCAAAAGCATTATAAACAGAGATGGGTAGTGGCTAGCAGTGCAATGCAGGATGCACACGTTTCGTCCTTTTTGGGACTCGTAACAACTTAAAACGATGAAGCATTGAACAATTGTGACAAATCAAGTACCCGGTTCCTCAGCAATACACTTCTATGATTATATCTAAGGAGATTGAACTCAAGACTTTCAAGTTTTATCAGTTCAAGTTGCCACACTACATTATCTTAGAGAGAAAATTATTGATACGAATTCCAGATTGATAGAAACGGTAACAGTATTGGTCCAGCTCGCGACGAGCGCTTAACCTTTACACCATTGATCCGACAAATAAATCACTAAATACTGACTCAATGATCTAAAAGTCAAGCGCTCTTCATGAGATCTAAATATCCTAAGTTTGACCGTCCCATTCGTGTAAAGTCGTGAATTAGCACTGCTTAGGAGCTGTGTACCGGCACGAAACAGTTGTCCAGTACATTGTGGTTTTAAATTGTTATCTAACTAAGATCAGTCCATAATGTAAATTATGAAATTTGACAGTCTCCACAAACCCAATGACTTTCATTACGATTAACTAAATATGTGTACATGTATGAGATTATGCTTTTTCTACTCTTGTTATTTATAATTTTATATTTTAAAGATACTAATTCCGAGTCAACGAATAATAATAATAATATTATTATTACTGATAATGATGAAAATCGTAAATCCTATTTAGATTCTGAAGGTGAATGGGAAGAAGTTGAATGTAATGAATCAGGTTGTGAAGAATGTCAAAATTTAACGAAAACTACAACAACAACAACAACAACAACAACAACAACTACTACTACTACTACTTATAAAAATACTAGTAATCAATCAAAACATGTAACCACTGCATCACCTCCTATCCTTGCTTCACCTTCTTCACATCCAACAATTTTACAAGCTAGAATAAATCAATTAAACTCATCATCAGCATCATCATCATCAGTATTGAATAATTTCAATCCATTAAATAACCAATCACATCATCAACATCAACAACATCCATTGTATAATAATAATAATAATAATAATCAGCTATCCTCAACTCCATTGACTAATTCATCTTCGTCAATGACCAATCATAAACAACAATCGAATTCGAATAATTCATCGTTAGGTTCATCGAAAACATCACGATCTGTTGGTGGATTTAGTAATAGTGCTAGTGGTAGTGGGGGTGGTAGTACTGGCTTAATGAATTTATCATGTCCTCCTCCTCCACCTCATCCATCTTCTGCATTATCGATGATGAACAATATTACCACCACCACCACTACTACTACTGTTACTACTAATTTAAGTAGTGTATTTAGCAATTCACCAAATAATCCAATGGGCGGCGGCATAGTAAACAATTTCAGTAATCGTACAACATCATCATCATCTTGTTCATCTTCAACGAATAACAACAATAGTTGTATGCCACTCCAACAACAACAACAATCACAATCATTGTCAATGAAACATCAACATATTCCTGGCTTAATAATGAATAAAAACACCAATCAAATGAAGCTTAATTCAGGTAAGTCAATTCTATTCCATGGTTGAAATAGTCAATCCACCACATTCAGTTATTCATGATTTATGTATTTTAAAGCTGTTAACTACTTAATTTAGTTGTGTTTGTTTTTATTTCAAACATGATATTTAACCAGAATAAATTTTTTTCAAATTATATACTTACACTCTTATGATAAGATGATGATACAACAAGTGAAATTCCAGAAGAGAACAAGAAATACTGATGAAGTTACATTTTTATATTGATCAGATCTTTGATAAAATGATCCACTAGGTTAAAAAAAAATAAAATTTAAATGTTTTTTTTTCAGGGGCACCGATGATTGACCAAAAGTAGATTGTGAATCATTTTGTGTGTATAGATTTATAGATTTATTTATACTAAATTCTAATGTCATGTAGAGAGAATTATTTGACAATCAATGGAATAGTAGTCAGTCAGTTGCAACGTAGAACTTCGTACGTATGTACATAAGTTCATGTTGCCATACCACATTAGCACAGAGCCGCAAATCTCAAATCAAATCCCATAGTGATAAAGATAGTAGAGGTATAAGTCGTAATGAAGAAGACTTGGGTTTGAAGATATTATTCAAGAAGTAGAATTCAGTGAGATAAGGTTAGAAAGACAAAGGTAGAGGTGCTGACAAATCCAGAAGATTAAGATTTGAGAGAGCTCAACGAATGGATGCACTTGCGCCATTGCAAACGATTTTGAGCCATGTCGTTCAAGGTCTCTAACCATTGGTGACTTTCGTCTCGCGGACCCCAACCACATAGTCTACATCTAAGTGTGAAAAGTTTTAAGGTTTCGTAAGATTCTCTAATTCTAACCCCCTTATTGACTCTCCGCATGTTTCATGATCATCCTCAATTTCCAAAAATGAATAAAACTTCGTACGTACATACATCAGTTCAAGTTGCCATACCACATTAGCACACACTGATTGTATTTCCAATTCAAATCCCATAGTAGTAGAAGTTGTAGCAGTATTAGCGTTGATGAAGAATAAGGTTCAAAGATATTATTCAAGGAGTAGTGAAATAAATTAAGGTGGTGGAAGATGAAGGTTATGAGGAATCCACAAGACTAGAACTTGAGAGAAGAGAAATAATTGATGCATCTGGACCATGGAAAAATGAGTCATGTAATTCAGTGTCTCCAACCATTGGTTGCTATAATCTCGTGGACCCTAACCAGGTGGTCTGCACCTACTAAGATGGCTCAGTCCAGTTTTCAGTGACTTCATGGTCATCAGTCACGGTTTATCACCAGAAATACAAGCGTTGTATCTTGAAGTTAGTCACTAGTAAGTAGTACATGATATTACTAGTGTATCGAACTGTGAAAGAATAATTAGTAAACAGTTAATCTATGTTAATATAGCGAAGAAAATTTCACAAAAAGTATCTAATTACTCATGAGTAGTATAGTTTTTTTTATCTTCAATTTTCTACATAAAAAATTTCTCATTTTTCTAATTTTTTTTTTAAAAATTCTTCTTCTCTTGCTTAACTATACGATTTTATATTTTTTACCCATCTATCAACACATCTAGAAGAATATACTGGTCAACATAGTGAACCAGAAGTTGATGCTCATTTGAATATTGCATCATTTATAAATAATCAAACAAATAATGAACAACAAAATTTATTGAACAAATTACAAACTGATTCTAATCAACAACAACATCAACATCAACATTATAATCCATTTTATGTATCATCAACATCATCTGTCAAACAATCATATACTCAATTATTGGATTCACAGCCTCAATTAAACAATACACATGATCATCATCGTCATCACCAACAACAGCAACAACAACAACTGAATTCATCAATACGAAATAATAATAATAATAATAATAAACCTAATACTTTACCATTATTCACTTCACCAGAGATTATTCATCGAGGTGTTAACAATATGACAAATAATAGATGTGTGTATGATTCAAGTTTTCAAATGATGGATTATCACAATAGCAGTATTAATAATAATAATAATAGTAATATTATACAAGGTGAGTTATTTTTAAACTGATAATTCTAAGTTGTTATCATGATGAAGATGAATTTAACTAATGTATTGTTGTAATTTAGCTCATAAATACTGGACTACTAGTTTTGAACTAAACTTTTTTGTTGATATTCAGAATCTAGATGCACTGAGGGAAATCGTAAGATTGATTATCATCAGAGTTGTTTTTTTTTTTAGTTAGAGGCATGACATTCAGGATAGTTGGCAAACTATGTATTGTAACGCTTGCTTAGATAATTCCCAGCTAATTCTTATTGCTTAGTATTCTGTGACCACAATACCCTGGACAAGTTCCAAAGAATCAAAAACACTGTGGAACAGGAAAAGATTATATTCCAAATAGCAAGGTTAAATGCAAATAAGAAGGCGAAGGCAAAATAGATACAACGTTAGTATCTTTATAGTTCTTTACATGAGAATCTTCTGGATTGTAATTCACGTGATCGACTGGGTTAGATTTAGCCAATCAGCATGCAGCTAATAACACGAGAATTTTCTACCCTGTTCTCCAAGAATCGATCAGGCGCTGATTGGATAGGAAATTAGCCAATCAGCGCGCTTTAATTCCATCTATATCCCACTAACACTATGGATCACCTCAACATAGATATAATCAATCAGCTCATACAGAAGCAGCCAACTAGTCAATCACAAAGTCTAAAGTCAATTGATAAATAGAATAATCAAAAAGCTTTATTCTGCATAAAGTAGACGCTGATAATGTTACTTACTGTTTAAAATAACAATAGAATCTTTGCAACTAAACTATATAGCGCTAAGAATACAATCTAATCAAGTCTAGATGAATTTATTCAGATTTATAAACATGGATTTTTTTGAAAGATTCATTGCATTGCCATGACAATTCAATACAATTAGTTCACTTTGTGAATTTTTAAAATGAGGCAAAAAGAAACATTTGAACAATTTCAGTTTATTGAAATTTCATGAATGTTTTGTAAATGCTTACAGCTTTGATTGTATCAAGAATGATAGTGATTATGATCACAGAATTATTTCTTCCTTTCTCTGTCTATTGATAAGATGTATTGTGTGTAACAAGTTTTAAAAATTGAATGAATGAAATTACTCGGACGAACCCAATGGAATTATCTGAAGTGATTGTAGAAATAAAATGACCGATTAACCATTAGATGACTGGTGCTCAGCAATACATACTCAAGATGTTTAAGTTTCACAACGAATGCCTATCACTCAGTTAGCGTTCAATTAATTTGCGATATTGTTCAACGATCACCCATCATCATTGGTGACAATGGTTTCACCCCCTCCCAAAATATCTGAATTTCAACGGTAACAGACTGTTCACTAAAACCTTAGGAATATCTCAAAATAAGTCATTTATATCAGCGATCAAACTATTATAGTTTAGTTCAATGGATTTTATGGAGGTCGATTTAATTTGTAAGTTTCATTCGTTTGTGCTAGATATATTTGAATTGCACAGTCTTTGAGATCTGTTCATAAAAGGGCAAATGTAGTTACATAAAACCTAATAAACGTAATTAATGAATCTTTAGTAGTCAAATACAACTTATTCTAAATAAGTAGATAGTTGAATGAGATAAACGCACTGTATGACAAAAAGGCGATAATTAAGTTCAAAACTGATTATTAATTGATTAAGTAGTGTTCATTTGTAAACAATATGAAGGTCATAAGTTCAAACCGCTTTTGTGTAGAGTTTTGGGGCAACTATCGATGAAGAATCTTAGAATAAAACAAAACACTTGTCCAATCCTCTGTTTGACTTCTCATTGACTGCCTCGACGAGCTTTGTCTTGTAGTGTAGGAGGAGTAAGTTGGAAGAAACCTAGGGCGGTCAAACCAAAACATGGCAGAAATCCATGAAGTCATTGACGAGTGGACTTAGCCATGTCGGTAATTGTCGAATACCTGGTTGGGGTCCGCGAGATGATAATAATCGATGGTCAGATACCCTCAATGACATGGCTCAAAACCGTTTGCAATGACTTGGGTGCATTTATTCTTTGTGTTCTCTCAAATTTTAATCTTCTGGATTCTTCAACACCTCTAGTTTTGACTTTCTGAACTTTTCTCCCTGAATCATACTTCTTGAATAATATCTTCTCATCCTAACCTCTCCGATTACTTCTAATGCCTTTACTACTGTAGTGAAGAAGAACACAGCTCGCACCACACTCGTCCCCCCTTTTAACAAGCTGTCGTCGTAGTCTTTCTGATTGCCGTACTGTTGTCATCTTTGGTGCTTTTCGCGACTCATACACTTGATAATCTTGAAACCATCTCTGCAGTTGACTAGCATTTACGCGCTTCTGCTTGTCTTCTCTCCGGATCGTGTAAACCGCGCCGCGTCTCTCCGTGATAACCTATGGTCCTTCACACTTTGGGATCAGCAAAATCAATGGTAACTCTTTCTCCCAATCTCCTCCTTTAGATGCTAACCATTCCTTTAACGTCCGGCTGTTTCTTTCTGTAAGCCCGTTTATCTGCGGATGATACGGTGTAGTTCGTATCCTCTTGATGCCAAACTGCTTTAGACGGGCTTTAAACTCGTCACTTTCAAAACAGGGACCCTGGTCAGTTAATATCACCTTCCGTATTCCGTGACACGCTACAATATGCCGGATTACCACTTCGGTCATTGTTCTTACCCGCTGGTCTCCACGGCCAGCACCAGTGGGTCACAATCGACAGACAACCTCACCAACCGGAACCTCTGCGGCGCCTCTTCCCTGTCCACTGGGCCGACGAACTCCGTCACTATTCGCTCCGTGACCGTCTCCCACACCGTCCAAGCTTTCGTATACAGCCTTTGCCTCACCTCCCCGCAGCGTCTCCAGCACCACCAGCTCCGCCCCGGGCCCCTTCACACCCGCCAGCCGCACCACGGCCTCAAACTCCTCCAAGAAGCTCCGCAAATCTCCGTCCTCAAACTCCTTCGGCCACGGGAGCTCCTTCCTTCGTGCAGGCAGCGACACCAAATGTAGTGAAGGAGAACACAGGTAAGGGCAACCGAATTGTATTTAACGAAAATTACGGAGTTACTCAGTAAAATAGGAAAACCATATCGCGACCGTTAATTTGCAAATCTTCAATCCATCATCAATCGATTGTCTGACATTTCACTATTCATGCGTTTCATACAAATTCCATTGTGTTCCGACTTTTCCTTTCTTGATCTTCTCCCATCTTCTGCTGCCAGACATTACGTTTACACTCGCGTCATATACTACTTATAAGTAGTGCGCACCACACTACCTCTTCAACTACTGGATTTGAATTGACAATTATATCTCTGTGCTGATGTGGTATGGCAACATGAACTGATGTACTTACGTACGAAGTTCTTCGTCGCATCTGACTGACTGACTTTACTTCTTATTAATTCATTAGCTAAAATCACAGGTTTTAACACTTTAAAAATACTTGAATCAGTTGAGACAATTGGTTGAAAGTTGAATACATGGATTTTATGTTTCATAAATGAATTACAAATCATATTACTGATTATTAATGATATTACTGATTGATTGATACATTAGGTAATTTGGAATCATACTATCAACATCCATATGAAGATGTTGCTACAGATGATTATGCTGAAACGACTAGTCAATTAAATTGTATACCACCGCAACTACAACAACAACATCAAAATTTCAATCAATCATTGTTGTTACCTACACTCCAGCATCAACAACAACAACAATATCAATCACATGTGTCACCAACTGAACCACCACCACCACCACCACTACCATCACTGTCAACATTATCACCTACACAACAACAACAACAACCACATATCTATCATCAACATGGTGTTGGTATGGTATTATTACCGCCAACCTCTACTAGTTCATTATTATCCAATGAATTGGATTATATGAAAACTTCAGGAGCAGCAACAGCAGTAGATGAAGATAAATTAAGTTTAGATGAAGGCAATGAAATGATACATTTCACTAATTCACATATAAATAATGATAATTCAATTAATACTATTACTACTACGACTACTCATTTGAATAGTAATACATTTAATCCATATACTGTTGCTTTTATCAATAATAATAATAATAATAATATCAATCCATCCAATTATATTCAATCAAATCTATCCCATTTGAATCCATCATATCCTATGTGGAAAGATACGAATGATTCAATTCATCATCATCATAATAATAATCAATATAGAATAAATGATAATTTAGGATTAATAATTTATCCTAACAATCAAATGGTATGTTTTTTTTGGTGTTTTTATTAATGTTTAGTGTTGTTGTTGTTGTTGTCAGAACTTATGAATGATTGTGTTATCCAAGGTGTTGATTATCATAGATGTTTGTCATATGTTCTTCTTTTCCCTGGTAATAATCACAATCACAAAATGTTGCTTCTCAAAATTGTGTCTGCATTAATCAACGTCTAAACTCTTCTAATGATGAGAGGGGGAGAAGGTGAAGAAGCAGTTGAACTTGTCAACCCCACTTCACTTATCTTAGAAATTTCATCAATCCTGCTGATAGGGTTTGATGCTTTGTGACACTTTGACATGGATCTAGAAAGTTTATTTAGCGTTTGCCAACTTATATTATTAATGGTGTAGAAAAGATGTTCGTCTGCTAATCGCAGAATAAATTTACTGAGCAGCATTTTGTTCTGTTCTGTTCTACTTTATAACTGTTAAACGTGACCTTTCAATAATAGAGAATATTCATAGGTTGCAATTATTGGTGCATAAGTGCCTTCGACGGGTTACTAGCTTATGTTGGGATCATTGAGTGAATAATGTTGAGGTTCAGGCATATGATACTATGTAAGTTGATCAATGGGGTTGCGGATCTCCATCATATCAATGTGTTACGTGTGACTAACAACTGCCTACTCTAAAGGGTCATGTTAATTGGTGTAGGAGTAGGTTGAACGAACACTATGAGCAAGTAGAACTTGACATGCGTTTAATCTATGAAATTATGTGCCACTGATTTAAACCACATTGGTAGGTGCAAACTACCTAGTTTGGGTCAGGTCGACTAACCGTAATTAATGATTGATAATGTTGGGTCACTCGGGTTTAATTTCATGCTACATAAATGAAAATAACACGTCATTCCTCGATGATGAAATAAATCAGGGGATCGGGGTTAAGGTTTTCATCACACACTAACATCAGCTGTACTGCAAGAATGTGTTACTGTGACCACCATAACAGACGAGTGGATTTTACGGAAAAATAGAAGAATCCCTTAAATCTTAAGTCGTTCAACGAGTTGCTCGCATTTACCCTTCTAGTTTAACTTTACCATTCCCCCTTCTTCTTAAATTGATATTCTAAGTGTTCACTTTTTCTCATTATCATCGCTAATGTAATTACTTTAATTCTTTTTGTTATTCTAATTGTCGTGCTAAGATCCTGCTACGGATCGCTTAGATTGTTGTTACATAAGATATCGAATTGTTAAGAGATTTTTTTTGAGAAATATCACCATAACTAATTTCTAATTCTTATTTTTTTTTCCTACTTTTAACTTTGAATTAGAATGATACCAACAATGGTGTTGTTGGTATTACAGATTCCGATCGAGGTACACATCCATTATTAACAGCTGATATCGATGATGTTGTAGGCAGTGATTTTAGTCTATCATCCACTTTTCGTCATATGAATGATATTTGTCAGCCTTCTTATCATCATTCATCATCATTATCTAATCGAATGCCCAATCATAAAATTGATGATAATAACGGTAATAATAATAATAATAATGATCTCATAATGAATAAACTTTTACAACATAATAACTATCAAACAATAATAGAACAGCAACAACAACAATTTACCGAACATCATAATTCCAATGATCATGTCAGTATGATGGATATTCGTAGTAATGATGGAACATGTGATGAATCGGATGCTAGTTCATTACCGGAACAAGGCTGTGATTTAATGCATTTAGCTCAATTACGTATATCAGCTAGACCAAATCCATTATTAAATGATTTAGCTAAACAACAGGTAATTTGTTTGTTTTAAATTGTTGTTTGAGTCTAGTTTAACTGATTGAAAATGTATACATATGTCTGAGTTGTGAGGAAGAGGGGGAAGAGTTATCTCAAAATAGCCGTGTAATTTAGCAAAATTTATGATTATGGATTGATTCTAGTTAGACAACTATTGAAGACTACGAAGCATTGAGTAGCAGCTGTCTTGGTCTAAAATATGGGGCTACTCAAAAATTTGTATCCACGACCTCACCAAGGATCGAATCCAGGACAGTCAGGTTTCGTAGGGTTCTTGACTTTTAGACCATTAGATTGTAACTCACTGAGAGGTCAAGTGCCTACCATGATATTTGATGGTAGTTCTTGGTTCGATTCTCGATAGGATCGTGGATGCACATAATCATTTCGACGTAATAAGTAATATTTATGGTTAGCTGTTTGAAAGTAGTCGACAAGAACACCTCAGTTCTACAGATCTCCCACAGCTTGAACAGCTCAGTGATAGCATCTTAAACTGTGAAGGCTAGCGACTGGAGTCTGAGTCGACCAGGCAATATCAGTCAAGTCGGGATTATAAATACACAGAGATTCCCGTCGACTACGTCCAACCACACAATACATGTGATTTGGGAGTCATTTCGATTAAAGATTGACCATATCGCAACCTGGCTGGAGGAATTCGATTGACACTGACCTGAACTAGGCAAATATTATATTTATCACTAAAAACTTAGTGATCCATTAATTATAATGAGTATTATTCATCTTTTTTCATATATTCGTTTTGTTTTTAAACAGATCCAAAGAAGCAATAAGTAGGATGATTAGTGATCTCCGCTCACATGTGCATGTATGCGACTTCATTGTAATTCAGTTTACAACAAAGAAAAAACAAACAATGGCGACTACTACTAATACTCTAACATCACTCACTGATTGTTTCTCAAATATGAAACCATGATCTTTCTTAAACTTTCTCAAACTAGAAGCTAAATAATAATAATGAATGCTCATTCTACTTTCATACACCAACTTGTGCATTATCTATCTATCTATATATATATATACAATCTCTCTCTCTCTCTCCCTCTCTAAGAAACAACACAACGTTAAACAATTGTAATTCTCCAAAGTTGATCTTTGTTTGTTTTTTTTCTACATAACATATACCATTTTCTTTTTTTTTATAATGTGATGTTATTATTGTTGATCAACTTTTAATTGCTTTTTTCCCTTCCCCATATGCCTTACAACATTTTATCATTGTTCAATATGCACATACATATACATACTCACGCAAATACCCGAGAAAATTATATATATATAGGGATTTATTAATTTCTTATATCTATTTCAATTTTGTACAGTCTTTTTTTTTATAGGTGATTTTTCTTTTTTTTTATACGTGAAAAATTGTTTCTTTTAAGTCCTTTATATTATTTTCAATCATATATATACATAGATATATATATTTCTTCTGCTGACACACTCATACATACACACATACATATATACGTATATAATCTAATTAACTCATTGTCAAATAATAATAATAATAATAGACAATAATTTGATTAGCCTTAATTGTCATCTTTTTTTCTAATGTCGAAAATTCTTTTCGTCACTTTTTTTATCATCTAGTCTAATAATACTTTTCGTCACCTTTTAATTCATTTCATTTGAAAGTGGAGAAAAGAAGACTTTGATTCATTTGACTAGCGGATAATAAACAACAAGACACCACAAGAACAATGTGTGTGTGTGTGTGTACGTGCACACACTGAAACCAGAAGAGAAAAAAAAAACAGAATACGATGATGGAGATACTGTTTTTTGTTTCTTAACCATTCGCTTTTATTATTTTTGTGATTGTCTGTATTGTTATTACAATAGTTAGTAGGTAGTTTAAGTTGTTTTAAACAAAATCACACATTATAATTGGACATTGAACATTGAGTAGTCATCGTCGTAGGCAGGATAAGCTTGATCAATGTCCTATTTATTATGATTGTACCTTTTAAATTTCTTCCAATGTTCATAAAATCTCTAATCATAATTAGTATCTCTTTGCCTAATAATTTTAATATATCACTGTTAGGATAATCATTTCAATGAAAAAAAAATTTCGTATTTATTAATCAATGAGAACTTTTAAAATTTTCTAATTATAAATAGAAAATACTAATGTGAATATAATCCCATTAATTATTATTATTATTACTTGAATGCATTTAAACTATGCGCATACATACACTCGGTGTGTTTCTGTTCGTCTTCTTGATTTTATTACAGTTTCTCTTTTTGTTTTAATGCCTGCAAATTGTTCGTATCTTTTTTTTTCATGACCGATTTTTGTTTATATGTTCTACAAATTATTAAAAACATTTTATTATCATTATTATTATGATACATGATTGTTTTGCTACCTTTTTTTTACATTTTCATTTTTTTTTTTATTTATTGATAATAATGATTAATTTTGTTAGTTTGATAAAAAATTTGTATGAATGAATAGGTGTTAATGAAAAGAGAATTTCTTTCAAATGTAAACATTTCTCTTTACTTTTTGTATGATTATTTGAGAGAGGTGTATACCTTTTGTAATATATATACATATATTATTTCAATTGTTCTTGCTTACAACAGTTGTATAATTTGAAAATATACAAAAGAAGACAATATGCATATTAATTAGCTTGTTCAATTGATAAGATATTTTTTTTTGTAAGAACCCAACTATTGGTTATTCTACCTGTAAATTGTAAAAAAAGAAACACAGTATATATATAAATTCGATATTATTCATCCTGTCGACTTAAATGAATTTTCCCGAAGTTCTCAGATTGTTTCTAGCTAAATAATTAGTGTTAAAACATGAGATTAAAAGTTAAGATTATGATGTAAAAATACTTTATAGCCATATTGGTTGAAAGTTTCCGGTTAAGATTTATGAACAGGGTTTATCTACATATACAAACAGTTGAGTTTTTTGTGTGGTCTAATACCATCAATCTGACAAAATACGTAATTTTGCGTTTACGACACCTTACGGAAAGTAAATGCACCGCCTATCTTGCATGAAATAAAATGATTCATCGTTTTCGACTGTCAGCCTTTGAATACAACATCATGGGTGATTAGCAAAATTAGACATTATTGGCTTCGATTTAGGTACACCTTATACAGGAGGGATTGCTAAATGAACAGTGTTGATCAGTAGATGAAATACATTGACACGATATGACTGAGTGATCCCTGCTCATTATTAGTGCAAACTCCCGAATGATCTAATACCATAAGATAAGGTCATTAGCCAGAAAAATAAGTTCTTATCCAATAAAATAGCCTGCTTATATACACAATATAAATGTGAGAATTCTCACGGTTAGAACCACAAACTGAGTTTAGCTAGAAAACCATTGAAAACCTAGGAGCACTGGATGGCCATCTCGTCCTAAAATTTTAGTGAGAAGCCTGAGTCGAGCGTGAGACTGGTTATCCGCCAGAAATAATGGATGGCTTCGGAAGATCATCGAATGACTGAAGTTGACATATTAACAATGCCAGATTCCGATTCAGTGGTGTAGAGGTCAAACGTTCGTGCGCGACACTATGGATGCGAACTATTGAGGATTCCTACAATAAAACGGAACAGCCAGACAGTACCTCCAGGTTTCCAGTGGTGAACGACTGGAGGAAATCATTTATTCTAGATTTCTCACACCAATGAATTAAGATCAGAGTAGTGTTACGCGTAATTCTTTCCTATCACTTCGACTAATTCTTGCTTATTATAACTTTTCTTATATACAAACCTATCTAGTTCATTATCAAGTTACATTTCCTTAAATAATAACTGTTTTAAACAATTGTAACATTTAAATTTTATGAGGAAACTTTTATCTACTTCAAGTGTATAACTATTATTCCTTTTTTTTGAATAATCTTTTAATATGCCAAAATAAAATAGTTCAATTAGATCAAATATATATACCATATGATAGTTTTTTTTTCAAATGCCATCTTACCTCTCTCAATAAAATTATATAATATTGTAATTAAAATGACTTGGAATGTTTCTCGACATCGCTAGTTGCCAGTGTATGCAATAGGTTCAAAACTCTGCCTATTTTTGCTAGTTCTGCTTAATTAAACTAAGAGTTATATATGTTCATTGCCACATAAACCTCTACACTTAGTTATGTAATCGCGAGCAGAATCAAATCTACTGCCTTGTATCATTTCTGAAGTTAACTAAGTTAATATTGACCATAACATTTCTACGGATAACTTCACAGACCATAAAAACCTCGCAAGTAAAAAAGACAATTGTTTATTATTACTTAACACATGAATAATTGTTTAGTCTATTATCTCCAATAAATAAAAATTAATCTAGAAAAAAATATATATACATAAAAATGATTTATTCCATTACAAAAGTTTCATGATTCATAATCTTGTGTTATTAGTAATCTTACAAAAAAAGAAAAAAATTGATAAAGGACAATGATTATAAATTATTTCTTGTCTGATTTTAATTCAGATTGACTTTTACGCAGCTTTAAAAGTTTTTCTGAAAATTAAAAAAAAGATTACTTATTTACTTAAACAATCCTATTAGTACCTTCACATTGGATTAAAGCATTTGTACGAGAAACAGGAAAAAAGATATTACCACCAAAACGTTCATAGATAGGCTATAAAATAATAAGTGGTTGAAACAGCAAAATCAATTGATTAACCCACTTGTGAGGATACTGTCTGTTTTAATTCATTTTGAACAGTTTCTTGTATAGCAATCTATTGGAAAACTATCATCAACATCATCATTAGATGAAACGTACTTGTTCATTTAACGTTAACATGATTTGATGATCATTTATTTGGTAGAAATCTAGTAAATAATAGAAAATAGTAAGCTGGTTAGCAGGTAAATATTGTTTTAATAAACGTAATGTGAAAAATAAATAAATCTTATTTTGAGTTTTGATACTTTTTATGACAGAGAGGATAGTAATTGATAAGGGTCTAAAAAAAGAGCTCCACAGCTTGATATGGTCTACTACCGAGTAAGCTATTGCACGGTGCTCAGGTGTATCAATGATTGCACAACTTTTACTAACCCTAGAAAGTTAATATGTTGTTTAATAACACCACAGGATCTGCTGATCATTGGCATCTAGGAATCTAGATTTTTTAGTAGGAAAAATGGGTCATTTATCTATAAAACTCATAGAAACAAGTTACAAACTCTATGGTGCAAAATAACCTACATGCTGGCAAGAATGAGTTTACTGTAAATTAGTCTATGATACAAACTGTGTTGGACTTTTGATCAAGAACATATGGTTATATACGTATATATTTAAACTGATATCTGGTCAAAATAATCAGAATGATAGCGGGGTATAAACTGGATTAAAACGCATACTGGAGCACACTGACTAGTCTATTCTTAGCCAATCAGCGCTAAAGGATAATTTGAGAAAAACTAAGCGTATCCTTGTGTCAATTATGCATCTATTAACGTTTTCCTTACCGTAATTAACTTCCACTCAACTCAATTTATTTGAAGTGCATTCATGCATTCCACAAGATCATGTTCTGATTGTCGAACGTAATCGAGGGAGATGAAGTATCCGACGAATATTACACAATAAGGACAAGTGAATTGGATAATAAGAGACAACACATACTATAGTTTCATTTTGCCAGTGACAGCTAACTGATAGAAATGTTATTTTTGTCTAAGTTTGAAGTTTCAAAAGTTGCTTAGTTCCTATACAATTTTTTTACAGAATCGTTAGTCACACACCATAAACAAATATCTAGTTTTGTATAATTTAAACCAACACGGATCAGTCTAAATGAGCAGAGATCTCATTAAGACCAGCCTACTTTAGTAGTTGTGAAGTTGTTGAAATCTAGACCACTAAGAGGTGACAGTATGGTTACATACTAAAAGTCTTAAATTTCTATTTAGAATTTGAAATTAAGGATGATTAAACAAACTAAGAAAGTAGGATTTCCGGTTCAAATTCACCTACATAAAACTTAGTACAACTAGATCCAGGTAGTATGTATATGAAAGAATGATAGTACGTAGCCATAGGATTTCTTTTGTTAACGTAAACCTAAATATCCAATCTCCAAACCAAAAAGACGGTTAATAAAAAGATCTCTCTCAAGACAAGACTATAATCTGACGTCCGTGTCTAAAGAGTCTCAACTTCAAAGTGGTTAAAAACGTAGGATGAAAACTAAAGCTTGTGTTGGTTCTCTTATCATCAGCCTGAAAAATTACTCAATCATTATCTAACGTTTTTAAGCTAGAAAAATATTAGAACACTGTCAAGGAATGTCTTAAATCAAGTCTCTAAATGTCGAACCCTTAATCCCTACTCATATTAAAGGATTTCGATGGTAGAATTAACTAGGACTCCGCGCTACTAATCCCGAAAAAAGGGTGGGAATACTTCACTACCCATTTACTTAAGTTGGAGGAATACGTGTGAATATTGTTCTAGGAGCACGTTGATTAAAAATAATTGGAAAGAACCTAGTGAAATATACATTTCAAGGTAGGAAAATAATTGTTCAATAAAATCTTGAAAATACTGAACAACGTTTGTCAGTGGAAATTCATAAAATTTTCTGAAAGTTAAGGGCATTTTAATACTAAAACTTGCTCAAACGGTCAAGGAAGACGAGAGAAATTCAGGTTGAATACATAGTTGTTTACAAACCGAAATTCAAAGTCTGAGAGTAATATGTAATGCCTATTGTATGTGAGCCTATTAGCTGTATAAATGTAGACATGTCTCCGAAAACAGCTCTTATTTTCAAAATTGATATCAGCCCTCATAAGTAAGGAGATGAAACGACCTATACTAATCCTTCTAATTCCCGATACTGTAATGATTAGATCTCGCTTTAAATGTACTAACAGAAGATGGTACTATAAAGCGTTTTCGCAGAGAATTCCAGAATCCACTACTCAATGTGAGAAACGGAACTCCGGATGTAAACAGTATGATCTTAGTTTCTTGAGCCTTTTAGAATGTCTTCTCAGATGATCTGTCCTATATAGGAAAGAAAGACATTGATTCAGAAACGATCGTTAAGTATACAGTAAGTTAGTATTAAATCACCTCTTAAACCGGAGGAAGAATAATGGAAATAGGTTGAGGTGTCTCAGTCTGTCTCCATAAGGTAGGTCAATGAGAACATTCACTATTTCGGTACCACTCTGTTAAACGTACCCTAACACATCCGCCTCAAATTTGAAGCATAAAAACTCACTACTTGAATCCCATATTCAAAATCCTACATTCCATGCGTTGGGTTTATTACCCTAAACAATTCTACATCTAAGTAAAGAACTAAATTACGAACAGTCCACAAAGACTCTAAAGCCTTTCACAAAGGCAGCCTATAGTTACTCGTAGTTCTAAGGTCGTTGCTAATTATGATTTGTAGATATTTAGAATCTCATTATTTTTAGTAATACTATTTCACTGATTGTGCAGCCGTATAAATTGCTGCAACTATTTATTTCCATCAATGGAATGTTGCTCGAATCAATTTCAGATGACCAATTATTTATTCACTCAACCAGTGAATTAAAATCTGCCTACAATATTATCCCATCAGATATGGTTTACTTAGAAATGTAATGACAGCACAATGACCAGTTATTACTTGGCAGCTTCACGTTTAATATAATGGAGTTGTTCAATACATTACGTATCCTCGTATTATACACAGCAATTAGTTGTTGACGGAGTTTATACTACCACCGAAGTGAATTCCGAAACGATACATTACACCGAGACTAGACCACGTTAATCTAGATACACGATTCACGACCAAAACAGAGAACCAGAGTAAGCAATAGACAATATTTTGTTCCACAACAGAACTGCCGTCAAACTCAGAGAGTTCGGTGTATAAGACAATGAGAAGAAAATAAGTCACAAATTTAATAATCATTAGACTAATTCCTATTTGTTCACACCCGTTGACCAACCACATTCTCCTTTCAATGCTACACATGATTATCTAATCGTCTAAACCTATTTCTTCATTCATTAAATGTCTTTTATAAATGTGAATTTAGATTGTTTTCTCCACACTCATGACCACCTAAGTAGTATATAACGATTTAATTTAGAGTCCGTGTCTAAAACATATACTGTTAGGAATCTTTCACCTAACGCAGTTGATTTGAACATACCGAAGCTGCCACCTTTGGGACAACAATGATCAATTCCAGTTAAATTTTGGAACGGCCCTTGGGAAAATTTCGGCTTATCTAACAAATCCAAAATTTACTCAGGCTTATAAATAGATAATACACAAGACTGGAGGACACAAATATTGTATGCAAGTAACTAAAATGACATGAGCTATCGTAAGAGTTGTACATTCATTTAGATTAAATAACCTACTGTAGTGTCAACTATAGTTTGTTTTGCAAGGTGGAAATTATAGTCGTTGGGATGTGCTGCTGCAACCAATGAACCGACACTGAAACAGAAGCACGTTAACGAACTACGCTGTTGACGACCTTGGAAAATGTTCCAACATCAATCATTAACCTTCGGTTCAATTTCCAATATCTTTTTCACAAGCTAGTGTAAACCAATTTGATTTCTTCGCGCTCGATAGGAGATCAAGCGACCTTCAGTAATCATTACAACTCGTAGAATTCAAGCAAATCTTGAAAGTTCAAGCTTAATATCGCATTCGACCATCATACTTATTGTCATTTTAAAGCTCGCCGTTCATTTATGGCCACGTATGGGAAATAGTTCCAAAGTTCCTAATTTCAAAATGAGATTAATCACAACACATGATAAGAAAATCATGGCGAGACAAAGAATCCTTAGTCTGATGTCTTAAAGATACAATAAAATGGCTATTATTGTATACGTAATTCTCCATGCTACAAATATATTGATGTAAAAGGAAAATTGTGCTTCAGATAATAACTTCTGAAAAATAATTAAAAAAGAATAAATGGTTTTCTAAATTTGATAAATTTTTTAGTGGCGAAATATTAATGTAAGTGCGATTTTTTAGAACAAATATTCAAGTCTCGGAAGGGCAACGGCAAAATTTGCAAGAAACATGCCAGAGAAGACAGCATGGTAATGTGAAAGCTGCTTGTCTTAACAGACACACTTCCCTAAGACAAACTCACTCATTTATGGTCAAGAAACATAAACCCCCATTAACTAGCGAATCAACCAGGATTGGTAAAGCTGGATGTCTAGGCTGTTAGTGCTGGAAAAAACTGAAGACATGAAGCCCCAACTTTAGGGAAAAGACGGAAAGAAATCAGTGGACTTATGAGAGCGAATAATGAATATTAAAGTCCTTCAAGTGCCCCACCAACTTGAAGGACTATCACATCAACCACATAGACGGGTGGCTTAGTAGGTGATAGAGGTAAATAACAAAACTCAAAAAAATTGACTCCGTCACTTGCGGTTATACTCGCTGAGCTACAAAACACTAAGAGGTGGTCTGATAATGGCATACAACACAGTACACCGAATCATCTTATTGCGGACATCCTATCACAATATCAACATCAAGCTCCTTCGAAATACTACTCGAGGAAAATCTAAGTCAGAGAAAAAAAATAGTTGTACGCTATGACTATTTCTCACTATGAGTTGTCCCTACTGGGAATGCATCACCAGCGGAAGTGACCGCAGTTCTCTCAGTGGACTGCTGTGAGAGAAGACTAGACAAACGAGCGCTTGTAGGGACGGTCGAAATAATTGTAATTTCTCATAATTTCATTCAAGGTAAACAAACACTTTTATCATGAATCGATCAATGTTAGACCACACATACTAGGACGAGATGATCTTCCATCGCTATAAAGTTGTTAAAGATGGTCTTATTATCATTTCTGTTTCATCCTTTAACTTTGCATTTCGGTCCGCTTGAACTATCTGCAAAACCAAATAACTGACCTAGTGACTTTGCTCTTGGAACATTCGTCATTTCTTTAGCATTCAATATTTCTCTTTATGAATTTCTGCGCTGAAGCTGACAGACCTCCAGCCTCGTAAAGTGACAGTTGCCGGTATACAGAAACCCCAATGTCCTTAGGCAAACGAACTCACTCCAATCGCAAGATATACAAACTCGTAACTACCAAACTGATTAAGTAGCTAGGCTAACATCAAAGCGACAAGAAGTGAGCACAAATTAATCAGTCTAATTGTACCAGCTGGTAAAAAAGGTATTGGATATTGCAACTATCCGAGTGCAGTCTTCGACTCTGATGTGACCTCATTATCCTCTCAGCGTCGCTACCGGATTAGGATATTTAAACATTCCTGAGGATACAAACCTTACGGTCTGTCATTGGTAAGCAATCAAAATAACAAATCATCCAGGCGTAATTAAATCATGGTGGAACCAGCAGCTTCGGGAAACTTTGCTGTATCCACGCGAAGTTGCTCACTAGGACGGTCAAAGGTAGAGTTGCAATTATGAGCGTTTTCCAGGTCTTATCCTTGCGGACTGCATATTATATTATTTCCTGTTGAAACTTATATGTCCCGTATTTTCCTCTTCAAACTACCTCGCAGTTTACCTTTGAATAACATGTACAGTAATACCGTTGCCATCAGTCCACACACTAAAGCAACTAGGAAAACTAGTACAGATATGAATTCTGGGGTTAGTAGGGAGTCCAAGACACCAGGATTGTGAAACAACTCGGGGCATCACTTAGAAGTGAACCTCAGAGGAATATGTATAACTCTGATCAGTCTGTCCAAAAAACTCCACCATGTCTTCAGCAAAAAACCAGGATGAAACTTCTTCCCAGATTCCTACTCCTGGTAAGACCAGTAGGCGAAATAGGAAGTGGAGTAAAGGATATTCCAATACTCAAATGACAGCCTACTGTTCAGAATATACACAAAGATGATTATATTGCCTGCTGGTTACCAGTTACAATCAGCGACCCCAGTATCTGTTAAATGTACACAGCATTGGGTGGGAGTGAGAAATAGAAATCCTCCTAACATCTGAGACATGACAAACCTAGACCAGTACCCGAAACTGTTCGGACATTAACAGGAAGCAGAGAAAAAAATAGTATTGGGGTTCATTGAGTGCCTGAGCTGGATGGTAGTGACTTGGGTGAAACTCATGCTTATGGAATGCAAAAATGGTGGTGGCTGTCACGTAGCATAAGCCTTTGCACTGCCATAGCGATTAGTTTTCCTGGATGCTTCGTCCGTCACATTCCGCGAATATCAAGTCTACATGTCTGATGGTTGTAAAATCTAGAAACAAAAAGGAACTGACTAATGTGCGTCAGGATGGGCACAGCACGAAATGTGATCAGACTAGTCACTCTAGATGCTGTGAGAGCCGACCAAGATCAGTGAGGTGACAACATGGAGGTCAAATAAATTACACACTAGTATCGGTCGATGAACAACCTACAGTACAGGAGGTGAAGATCATGGTCTAGTCTATTGAATACACTACGCAGGCAAAATACCTGTGACAGGCAGTTACCACAGAACTGGCTAACTTGTTTTAACCAACTCTTTTAAAAATCTGAGGACGAGAGTTACTACAGAGGTGCATCAAGTGATGAAACAAAACATCGAATGCCTCCATAGGAGGGTAAAGCTGGAAGAGTTCAGGAATATGGGCTTTCAAGATGATTTAAAGATCATAATCCTAACTGAAATATTGCTATCCCTCGATAATGCCTATCACCAAGTGAGCTTGCAAGGCTTTTCACTCCTTCGATGCGATAGGATACACAAAGCTGAAGGTGGAGTAGCGATGTATGTCGATAGTCGTTTCAAAGCCTTAAAACCTCATTGCACCCAACTAACTCACGATAAAGAAGCATTTCGATGTTGCTTTAACACGAACGGTAGGACATACTTGATTTCAGGAAATTAGCTCCCCCCGCAGATAGTAAAACCCAGAAAGATGAGATAATCGAGTTATAATTCGACCACCACCGCTGGCGGCTGGGCAAATGATACTAGCTGGAAATATTAGCCAATAGGTGGACTACGGATGGAAACACCCCAAAACTAAGATTGTTTGTTAGCGAATCAGCTCCTGGTCGGGGGTATCCATGTCCACACACCAATAGGAATTAGTGAGACGAGACGAAAAAGATTCCTACCTTCGCCACACTGGGACACACTACACAACCATGAGAGGAAATCCTCTCATCTAACGTCCCCAACACTCCTCCACTTTTTAATAGCGTGCTCTCCTAGGGTAGAATTGCATTTTGACTGTTATTCGCCGCTCTCTGAGAGTATATCTTCTGGAACAAAGAACAGGTAGCTTCTGAGTTTCTTCTCGTGGCGGGGCTGACGGTAGGTTGAAGGCATCAAGCGGAAAGTTTTCTGCTCTTGATGGGCGATCTGGAGCTAGCTGTTTGTGTAACTGATTTCGATGACGTGACTATTCATCACCTCCTACCTCTACTTCGTACATAACTCGACCAACTCTTCTGCCTGAGGACTATGGTTCGTTCTTTAGTCACGGACAAACACAGGGCATCTCACTTCGTAAGACGATTGTCCTTGAGGCCTTATCTCTACTGATGTTGGTGCATTAGTCGGATGCATAAGGCTGTGGATCGTTTTCAGTATTCTTCCCATCAGGATTCCTGCTGGGGACGTTTGCTCCGGTAACAACTCATTTGGTGTTGTTCGATAGACGTACAAGAAATTTTGTAGGCAAACGGCTAATGTCCCCTTCTTTCTTGACTTAACCAATGCTCTTTTAAACGTATCCACAAACCTTTCCGCTTGCCTATTCGATTGCGGTGGTATGGTGGCGAGCGTAAGTGTTTATTGGCTAGCCATTGGCAGAAAGTTTGTAATTGTGTGGAGGTAAATTGAGACCCATTATCAGATACGATCACATCTGGTGTGCTGTATTGTCTTAGCTGTCGTGGGCGGCATTACCGGGTTGACTTTTGGCTATTCTGAGAAGACGTCGACCACAACTAAATACATAGTTCCATTGATTGGACCAGTGAAGTCATCATGTATCCTGGGCCAAGGATGCTCAGGTTTGGGCGATGAAACAAGCGGAACTTTGGCATTCCTCTTTGCCGCCTGCTGACACCGCATGCATTTTTCAACTAACGTTGTGTTATGTTGATCCATGAGAGGCCAACATGCATAACTCCTGGCTGTGGACTTCATTCGTTTAACCACTAGATGACCAAGATGGTAATACTTCAGCACTTTTGCACGAAAGGATCCTGGCACCACCACTCTTTCACCAAACATCAAACAATCGTTGACGATGTATAGTGAATCCGGCCGCTGGTACAGTTGTTTCATGTCATCATCAAACTTTTTCGACGGCCAACCGCTAGCGACATATTTCATCGTCATCTTGATGATGTGGTCGTTTCTAGAAGCATTTGGTATGTCTGTTGCAGACACCGGTAATTCCCGTATCGCGGTTGTCAGATAACATTCTGCGTGGTCTTCTACTGACAGAGATGCGATCATCATGTTTTCATCAGCCGCCACTTGATCATTAACGAGTCGTGACAAAGTGTCTGCCTGACCGAATTGCAGAGTTCGTCCATATCGGATTTCGAAGTCATACCCCATAAGTACCAAGGCCAATCCCTGAAGACGATTTGCAGAATGGGTTAGAATGCCAGATTTTGAACTAAATATTGTTAAAGAGGCTTGTGATCTGTGAGGAATGTGAATCTCCGACCGTACAGAAACTTGTGGAAACGGCGAACAGCAAACACAAGGGCAAGAGCTTCTTTCTCTATCTGGCTATACTTCTTTTCTGCTGGGGTCAGTGTACGGGATGCATGCATAACGGCTTTTTCTGACGCGTCTGGAAACCGGTGTGAAATAACAGCACCTAGGTCATATGCTGGAGCATCTGCTGCTACGATGATCGGCATGGATGGGTCGTAGTGTGTTAATCACAATTCCGAACTAATTATAGACTTGAGTTTACCAAAAGCCGCGTCACACTATCTAGTTCAGTTTCATATGCTATGCCTCTGCAGTTGACAATTCAATGGAGTGCGAATATCATGCATCGAGGGAACAAAAGCTGAATACGACTGTTTAATCCGAGAAAAGATCGTAATTCCGAGACATTAGTGGGAGTGAGCATCAGTTTGATAGGTCGGATGTTCTCAGGATCCGGTCTGCGGCCATCAGCATCAAAGATGAATCCCAAATACTTTACCAACTGCAACAGAAACTGACATTTCTCTGGGCGTAACCGGAAACCATTGTCACTGATGAGTTTTAGTACCAATGTCGTGCGTTCCTGTAGCTGTTCTAATGTCTTCGCAACAATTAGGATATCATCGAGATAAGCTGCGATCCCTGAAATATATGATAGGATAGTATCCATTAGTTGCTGGAAGATAGATGGGGCAGTCTAAAATTCTAAAGGCAGACGGTTGTACTGGAAGAAACCACGATGAGTATTGATAGTAAGCAGCTCTTTTGATGCTTCATCTACTTCCACTTGCAAATAAGCATCATCTAGATCGAGCTTTGCGAAAAATTCTCCCCCATTCATCTACTGTTGCTGATGTTGCACAAGGTAAGTGTCTCTTTGGATGGAAAGCAGGCCTAGCCCCAGGTTTCGACCGAAGTGTTACCTTCGTGGTAGTCCACTGACCTAATCCAGGTGAAAAAATAGCTGAAAACTGCATCATTAGATTCCTCATTTATGATTCAGGTTCATGTGGTTGTAATGCCAGGTGGCATATAGTATTTAACCATACGTCAGCCAATTTTAGCTGGTCGAACCAGTCCCAGCAAATGACGAGTGTCGAAAGGCAACCTTACATTCCAATTTTCCTAACAGACGAAGGTAATAAGCACATGTTATACGAGGCTTCCGTGTTATCTGCTGCAGGCTTGGGCTGCCGAATTTGGTCCGATTTTTACGTGACAGGATGGTGACGTCAATTGCAGTATCTATCTAAACGGATGACCGTTAACATTGAGAGTAATGGATTTTCTCTCACCTGGTGATGAGCTTCGACAGGAAGATATTAGGCTAAATGCACTGGTACCAGCTCTAGGAACAGACTTCTTGGCACTTATGGACCGGTTCCGCTTTCTCTTTGGGGTAGTCCGCTCCAAAATGTCTGCCCAGAGTGCGATCTCGGTCTGATAACCACAGAAAGCCTAAAGACCAATGTAGGATTTAAATTTGTCCTACAGATGTAATTCTAAAAACGTTAACGCAAATACCGCCGCTGACAGAATCCAGAGTGAAACTATAGTTAACAGAAGACGATTTGGTTTTAAACTTTATCTGTTTCCAAACAAAAAGAAACGATTAAATTAGCACAACAAATAAGGAAATAACAATTATCAAGCAAGATGAGCAAACGTACCGGACAGCATAGCGTGTCTTTAGGAAATGAATAAAAAACATGAGTCACATCTATATAAAATAAAATAATAACATCCTTCAATCGATAATTCATTCACAACAAAGAAAGTTTATAGACTGGTCAGACTAGATGACGTGGTGAGCGCTTAACCAATCTCATTCGTTAGTTATGACATAACTACAATTAGTTATAAAATAACTAACAACCAGTTCAAACTACACAGAGGATGCAGTCGAGACTAACACAACTCTCCACTTTATGCGAAGACAACACGGTGCAATCACTCCACAATTGTTTTTAACTCTCTTCAAAACGTACACACTGCCACACCTTGTAGTTGACAATGTCGTCGCACCTCCTCTCCTTAAACAGATATAAATCTCCTGGATTGAGTGCAGAGACGAGCGACTGAATGGGTGACAGTGTTAAAGAACAAACCTTACGAAGACAGGCTCCAACACTTGGGACTACGCTGTCTGATTTTGCGGGGGCGGGGTAGGTCGGAGGGGGGAATAAAACGTGATCTGCTAGCGAAACACAACATATTAAGTACGCCGAATCATCCGAACATGAGCATCTTGCCGAAACATCACCACCACACAGCTCGAGGTAACCCTCGGAAAATTGCACATCAAACAGCGAATACACAGGTTCGTGCACACTTTTTCTCATTAAGAATTATCGCAACTCGGAATGCTCTCTCAGCCGAAGTGACTTCAGCGGCTACAGTGGGTGAATTCGAGAGGAAACCTTGTGGCGGCGATCGAATCGAGAGTGACTATGAACACCACTACAGCACCCTGTCCGAGGGAAGAAGAGTTATTGCGTGGTAAAGAATATGTTTGCAGGCGATTTCTTGTTTTCGAAGAATACCGAAATCGTGCCAGAAGAGTGGGGCGAAATTACAGAGACGCTTGGGCAAAAGTGGCAGCAACACAAACGGTAAGTTTGCGCGTACAAAGTGTTATAAACAAAAAGTACAGATAAACAATCACTTGGACAATTGGTAATAACAGTAAATGTTTATGTTAAGCCAATCGCGTTCTCTTCATAAAAGTTGATTTACTACAACCTCATCAAAGCGTTCTCATTCTACCATTTCGACCAGTCGCGTGATGCTTCGAAACTAGCTTGTCAATTTCTCAGATCATTAACTTAATATATCCCTCTTATTATCCACATTTCCTCTTCTTTGATTAAACTTCTGCCCTCTCAAACAATTTTCTCCGTCCTGGTAATCTGGCGGCTGCCGGTATCTATAAACTCGACTGTCCTGAGATAAATGCACTCATTCAAATCACGGAAATACAAATTCATAATGAACTACGACTAGTGGCTTGATTACCATCCATCGGACATTACCAGATACCTGTAAACTTAATGGGAAAACATCACTTAATTACAAAGAAATCGGTTCATTTTCGCCAACTCGTGAAAAGTATATGGATAGTGGGTATTGGAACGTCCAAGTCAATTTCAGAGTTACTCGAGGTCATCGTCAACGTTTATTCTCGCCGGCATACTTAAATCTGTGGGTGTTGCAGGTTAGTAACTTTGCGCTATCTGCCCCAAATCTCGATATATGTGTGGTGTTTTTCTAAGTTCTGTGCTGTTGCAGATTTCATACTCCATCTTCCTCTGAAAAACGTTTGTACATTTTTTATGTTAAGACAGCAGTTGGTTTGGCCCTCACCCAAGCTACAGTGCATGCTCAGCTGGTACAGAAGTTATCTTCTGTCTAGACTTCAACCACTACAACTGTAGCACATCAATGTTCTATATTTATGCTCTATTTATAATACTATAGTATGACGGTATTTAAGGGAAAGACGTTTAAGAACTCAGTGATGAAATTCTGTTTGACAAGTCAGTTTATAAGGTAGTATTGAACAATTATTGCACATCAATCATAAGTATAAGCATTTCTGCTAATTACGATACGTTCTGGATAATAATCCCTTGATTCATCTACATGTATGGATTCGATGTAGGAAGACACGAAACAAGTAAAAACCTTGTAATTTGATTTGAGCAATTAATTGAGTTTTCCCTAAAGTTGTTGAAGATTTTTGGTAAATCCTGGCTCGTTTGTTCTGTGAAACATGATTTTAACTTCTTCGGTGGCACGTTGCATAACTGACGAACAAGAACTGAAGGATGCAAAATGCATTTAGACCGTTTACATATGCATATTGTGATGTTTCTTTAAGGACTTTGGCGTAAAGATTTTTGAATTAATTCCATTTGATACTCACCTTCAAACAGGGCCAAAGTTGGGGAGGGTCTACTTCCACGAATGCTCACATACGATCATATGTACATAGCCGCTGTCAGGTAAGTCCTAAAATTACTGCATTCTAGTGACACAGGTTTTTACGAGGTTCGCAAGATAAAGAGTGAATTTCAGGCTTCTAAAGCAGGTTGGTGGGTACGGAGGTAGTTCCGTCATTCAAACCAATAGCCCACGTCAGTTTCAAGGTTCTGAGGAAACAAATAGCTTATAAACTTATATTCGCCAGCTGGCTACCATGTGACTAAATCTCCCGACATTGCTTAATTGTCTTATGGATTAGACCTGTAGGTCAAAGTCTTGATGAGTGACTCCTAAGAAGATCATCTGTTTCATTTTGGACAGCCGTGCAATATCCCTACCCATACGAAAATTCGATGCTTTGTGCGGCCCATATATGTTTTATTGCACCTTTGGACCAATGTTCATGCATTAAAATAACAACAATAATAACAAATCCGATACTGATTGGCATTATGTCACCACTTCATTCTTATATTCCAGTCTACTGTTTGAAAAAAATCATGTTACTAGACATTTGATTTTAAATCAATGTTTCGAAAATTTACTGCTGTCATCTCAACTTCACATAAACACATATTTCAATTAGTTAGTTTATAAATCTAAAGAGTATGACAAATTCTTTTACTACTCTTGAACTACTAGTATATTAAGTTTATTTTTTTATTTATATATATATTTATGTGTACAAATATACACTAATCATAAAAATCAGTATATCGAATCTAACAAAAATGTTCACTTCAAACTTGTTAACTAACATCAAAGTTTAATAAATGGCAAAGCGATGTCCTCTTCAATGGGTTAACTCAATGAATGGCACGGTTGGACCTGTGCTACAAAATCATGCTGGTATAGAGTACTAAATGTATGAATATAATAAAAATTCTAGGTGCTATTGTAAATGGATATTTCTATCTACACGGTGGAGTAACTTCTAATCATGCATCATGTAAAACACCAAGCAACTGCTTTTACAAAATTCAAATTTATCCTTCAATCGGTCAATGGGTGGAAATCACATCTTTAGATTCACCCTATCTTAGTCAGCATACATGTTTGGTTTTTAAGGACAGATATCTCGTTTTTATTGGTAAGTTTATATGTTAGTCGATTTTTAATAACCATTAATATAAAAGTATATTAAGTAGTAACATAATAGTTCTGTAATTGTCATTTATCAAGTCACTAGGTTTATCCGCAGTGAATTCAACGGTCAGAAATAGTGGTTACTAACGAAAATGCATTTCTCCATATTTCCTAAATATTTTCCTCTTGACTAGAGACTAAGCTAAGCTGTAAGTAACAAGTTGTTGTTTGCTATTCTTTAGTTGACCAATCGTAGTTGCTCACAGGAAAGAAAAATTCCCTAGTTTTGCCATTCTAGATTTACAATACTTAAATCAAACTTCAATATTCCATCATGTGTTGAATCTTTGTTCAGTTACTAGAGTTACTGAATTCACTGAGTTGTAAGGCCTAGTTATAGAGTTTGAATTTCATTCTGTAAAACATCAAGGCTTACTGTAAAAAGAGAACTATCCCATAATTGCAGGATAAGCCCATTCTTATAACCTTACTTGTACTTAGTTATCGCCAAAAGCTTCATATCTTAGCAATCTTTTTAATTATTGTGTACGGTGGATCTCTTATCATGCAACTAATTAACCTTATTCCCCAGAGTCACTGGATTAGATTGTTGTGAGCAAATCAAGATACCAGATTGACTATGCTCACCACTAAATGTTCCATACGGTCGCGTCACGAATAGCAAAACAAAATAAATTCATGGTTGAGTTGTTTATTGAAGGAGAACGTTGGCATTACATGGGGAGTAGCAAATAGAGAAAGATGGCAGCAACGCGAAGAGAACGTTGCGCGCAAGAAGGAGTAGAAGTGTTTTTGGTACAGTTAAACAAAACGAGTACAATAATGTTTATTTTTCACAAATCGTATTTTCTTCGTAGAAGCGTTCCACTACAAGATCTTTCCTGGTATGCCTAGTAGTTGTATAATACTTAGTACTAGCCAATTTTCATTGAATAAATTTCAATCTACCTACTAGTTATGATAATCTAACGTCACATGCACAATGTCTTAGTATTGGATAATCAAAGTCAGTGGGAAACCAGAGACCGCGACCTGTCTGGCACATAACCAAAAAGGATTCGCAGTTTTGAGGAGGTTGACATTTTTTGTGATCTTCGAACCCGGGTTGACTAATATCACAATCAGCTTTATGGGTTCACATCCGACAAGGAGTATCAGTCCATTCAAAAGTGCGGTTTCATCCTATAGAAAAGACCAACTGGCATGAACCATAGATTCCGTGTTTCTGAATAACTGACTCCAATTATCTAGCATCAAAACTTGGGTGTGCTCTGTAACGTACTTAGATTTAATCACTTGCTTGCAAAAAGCGTCTTTCATATTTGATTGTCGAAATTTCTATTTAATCTTCAGTATGATTTATCTTTTGATAAAGGTGGATGGAATGGACATACCCGAATACCAGGTATACATACATATGATACTCAGTCGAACAGTTGGTTACCACCTGCTTTGAATGAACCATTACTAACTGGATTTCCTCAGGGAGCTGGATTGTCAGCGCATTCTGCTCAAATGATTCGCTCACTAGACGATGATAATAAGTTCTCAGCAATTATTATTGGCCGAGAGGGCTCTTTGCGAATGCAAAGAAAGTCAGGAAATATTTACTTATTATATGGTAGGTCAATTGCTTTTCATCATTAGTTGTCGATAGTTTTCTCAGTTTCTAGTGGGACATAGATTGGATTAAAGCATGATTGCGTTGTTGCACGTTGATTGGCTCTTTCGTATCGAATCAGCGCTAATCGTTACTGAAGGAACATTCTAGAATCTTCTCATGTAAAAACTACCAGTATACTAATGTTCTGAACTTCTCTGTCTTCCATCTAACCTTGTTATTGGAATATAAACTTTTTCCTGTTCAACCGTGTTCTGATTTGGGAGAACGTCTCGAGTGAATTCGTGTCCGAGAATTCTAGGCATTAGGAATACCTGGACCGTAATAAAGAGAGAATTATAACATCAGTAAATAGTGTTTTCGATTAAGAAAGATAATTTTAAGTTAGGGCAGTAGGAATATTAGTTAAAATTGAAGCAGAATTAACTATGTTCAAGTCCTAATGTCAACATCAAAACTAAAGTATCGATAAATTTAGCTGGCAAGTACTATCTAGTACAAAACGCACATCCTGAATTTCACTGTTAGCCATAACCCACTTATTACAAATTAAAAAATCTTTTAAAAATGACTATATTGAGGTGATTCTAACAGATAGCATCAGAAATACATTCCTGGACATCAATATTGAGAATAATATTGAATCCTTACTACAAATTTTATGCAATCAAGTTCTTCTATTTCACGCATTGTCCTATTGAATTATCAATAATGTAATTTATTAATATGTAATATGCTTTTGAACTAATATTATGAATAATATTTTATAAATTACTTATTCACAGGTAATTTAATCAATACAAATTCATCTAAACAACGAATGGAGTATGTTTACTGTGAAGCAGATCCTAATTTAACAGTATCATCAAGAAGTTATCATACATCAACACCAATTACACCATGTACATTAGTTATTCTAGGTGGTTGTAAAAATAATTCAATAGATTTATTAAAATGGAAAATAATTCCTAATAGAAAGAAAAAAGAACTAGATAATTGGCCTGGTTACCTTGATTATCCATTGACTTCATGTAATGTTGTAACAAGTTTTACGAAAGATATTGAACAACAGCAACAACAACAACAACAACAACTAAAGTCGGATTTAGTTGAACTTGCACCATCTTATCAAAAGTAAGTAAGTAAATATTAATATATGAATAATCATGTTATTTATTGTTTAGTGATTGTGGTGGTGTTTCGTTCTCTGTGAGCTGGATGATTTTTGGTTGTGGAGTTTTCATTGTTCTTCTGATAATGTTGTTCAGGAGAACACTGAAAGCTCCACAACCAAATTATCCAGCTCACAGAGAACGAAACTCTCTACCATAATCATCCATCTGAGCTAAAAATTTTCTCCACCATCTCATTGTTCAGTGATTTAAGTACATTCACCTTCTAACCAATTGAATCGGCGGTCATGAGTTCGAAAGTACATTTTATTTAGTGTCGTTTGAGCAGTTAGAAAACTTATATTCTAGGCGATATATTGAACAAAAACAGTCAAATGTTAGTATAGATAAATATCAGTCTGCTACAGCTGCTCCATTGCATCGAATGAGTAATCAGACAACCGTTAATATACTATAGTTTACCAACGAAATACAAGAAAGAAATTATACAATAAAATGTTAGTAACTCATAAATTTATTATACCATTGTAGTGAAGGAGAATACAGGTGAGGGCAACCGAATTGTATTTATCGCAAATTACAGAGTTACTCAGTAAAATAGGAAGACCATATCGTAAATCGTTAATTTGCAAAATATCAATCCATCATATCGAACTGGACTGTTCCTGTTGCAAAACATCAATCCATTGTCTGACATTTCACTGTTCATGCGTTTCATACAAATCGCAATGTGTTCCCGCTCTTCCTTTTTTTGATCTTCCCTCATCTTCTGCTGCCAGACATTACGCTTTCACTCGCGTCATATACTACTTATAAGTAGCGCGCACCACACCATTTATCATTGAACACATATCACTACACTTTCATAAGATTTTGTTTAGTTTTTCATGTAATACTTGTGCATTTTAGTGGTTGGCGTGGTCATTGTATAATACCAGGTGTCGGTGGTTTATTCATCGGGACAGGAGAAGGTTTCAATGCGTTAAGACATGGTCCACTTAATTCAGCATATCTTTTAAAGTATCTGGAAAATGGTACTAATGTTAAACCGACAATTTACGAGTAAGTTCTCATTTACTTTATATTTTGTTTTTCAAGAATTTCATCAATGAATTAACATAAACTAAGCAACTGTTTTTTTTCAAAAAAAGCGACATAATGCAATCAGTGGTGAATAAATATATATCGGGTCTGATACAAGCAGTCATAAACCCAAATCCTCAAACTTCATGTTAGTACTCTGAGAAGGAATCAACGAATAAACAATGATTGAAATAGAATAATGACAATAATTGTGATCAATATTACTCATTAACACGATTGAACATTTAAATTTTCATTCCCATTCGCACGTTTTTCTGGAACTCTGACCTAAAACGTATCAAGGGAAATTTCAGTGATATTAAAACATTTAGTGAATGAATCCAACTACTCCATTAGGTCTCCCACACAATTCTTGGATAAACTCAAAAGGATTCAAATCGACACGAGACGAAACGACGTAACAGCCTTATTCACCTCAATAGAGCCGAACCTAACTAAAGAAACTTTTTCCATGCTCCTTACCAACGACACAAATCTGCAAAAATATGCGAAACTTCAGAACCAAAGTCTGCTAGAACTCATCGGTCTATGCTTAACAACGTATTTTCAATCCAACAACAGTGTACGAACAAACAAAAGGAACGCCAATAGGATCACTAATACCATGACTCATTACGGAAGCTATAATTCAGAGACTAGAAGCATCGGTTTTACGAGTGATCAAGCCAAAAATGTGGGTTCGCTTTGAAGACGACACATTCGTCATTATCAAAAGGAACGAGCTGGAGAGCATCTACAATCGGATCAACAACGTCTTCTATGACATAAAATTCACAATCGAAAAGGAATCAAACAACAGTCTATCATTCCTGGATGTACTAGTCACCAGAACTGACACATGGAAACTGGAGACCCATGTTTTTCGGAAGCCAACCCACACAGACCTAATTCTCAACTACTGAAGCAATAACCCAAGAATTCACAAAATCAACTGCAAACAAACTTTGTTCAAGAGAGCGAAGACACACTGCAGCACACTTAAAGCACTAAAAAACGAGGAGAAGCATCTTATGACTATCTTTCAAAAGAACGGTTATCCAAGCAACTTCATCAAAAAAAATGTCAACTGAAATCGTCAACAGAAGCGAAATCAAGTACAGGAACCAATAAACGGATCATCCTACCATACACAATATATATATATATATATATATCATTTTCAAAACATTTTAAAAAAATAGAATATTGCGTCGTTTCCATCGGTCGCACTCACAAATATTATCAGTCCTATTCACTATTCTTTATTGGGGGTATTCTTTCATTGAAATTAAAAACCGCTAATTTTATATATTTACTCATATTTTAGAATTGGTACAATTGACGAACCAAGAGCATATGCAGTTACTGCAGTATGTCATCAAAATGGTACAGCTTGGTTACATGGTGGTCTTGGACCTCAAGGAAAAACGATGAATACACTAATGAAATTGACAAGAGTTGATTGACAAAAATTTAAATGAAAATGTCTACAAATTTTTTGTAATATTAACATGTTTCATTTTAAACTGATGTATGGTTGGTTATTTTATGAGAAAATAATTTTTGATCAATCTACTCTATCACTCCAGTTCATTCTAGATCAAAAAAAGTCTTTTACAATCTTAATTTGTTACCCTAGAATTGTTTTCAATGAACATTTTGTATGATAATTAATCATTATTTGTTCATGTTGTTATGTAACATCCTAACATTTTTTAAATTGTCACTTTACACTACTTGTGAGTAGCTTTAATTAATTTGTAAAAATAAATTCAATTTATCTGTTGCATTGGTTTTTATGCTCAATTTACTTTTTAAACTCACTTCAGATAATTTAGGTTGATTAAATTAAACTGAGTACCAAAATTAAATTACCGTCTTTTTTTAAAAAGTAGACTTCGTTCGTTGTGTTTTTTTTTCAAAAAAAAAAAACATCATACTTCTTTAAAGATCCTGTGAATTATTTACTTTATTAGTACATAAAACATAAAATATATTCAGTGAAATGAAATTTAGTGTCTAAAATAATCTACATACTATCATCGTTTAGTGTAAATAATCCCCTTGAGATTTGACAAAACTATAGGAAAGTTGATCTTTTTTTTTACTAAACATCAACATTTATCAGTAATTGTTTGAATTTTCTGTTGTCGATTTCCAGGACTGTAGTTGATCAATCTTTTTTGCCAACCTAAACTATTTGTCTATATGTAGCGTTGTAGAAAGAGTTTTAGTATATTTATTATATGATTGAAAAAGTAATTCAAATACCCAAGGCGGGAAATCACAAACCATCAATAACATTTCTAGTGGTTGTTCGAATTCAATAGATCGGTGAAAAAGCATTTGGTTCTGAAGTTACTGTGTTCTACCAGCAGTGTACACATTAAAACTAGGTTCCAAGTTAGTGGATCACGAATATTGTATTGAAACTTGTGACTTTGGTGTTGGTTGATAGTTAGTTGTTGTTTTGAGTTCCAGATGTTCTCCAAATGTAAAAGTGCTACCCCGCACTTTCATACCTACATCAGATCCACCCAGCTTATCAATGATGCTGCCTTGATATGTAAAGGTTTTTACATCTTGCAAAGCTTCTCCATCAAGTGTGATCAGTTGTATCGTAGGATCTTGCTTTTTCCTTTGTGTATGTTGAGACCTACTACTGCGTAGGTTGGCGCCACACTGGTTGTCTTCTCCTTCTTCACTTGTTGTTGCAAGCAGGATCCAACATATGATCAGAACATCTAATTAGATTAATGACTTTGATTATCTGACCACTTATACCGAAAATTATTAAGAATTCGAAAACTTAATCACTACTAAATGTTCTACTTTCTTTATCATACAGCTAAAGAGTTTGAATATCACACTCAGTAATATGAAACATGTTTGATTATGATATAATACAGATTGCATCAAGATCATTGTTTGTTTATTATGAGACTAGAACAAGACATTGGTTGGTATTTAACATGTTTAGTTCCTCTTATTTCTTTTTTGAAAAAAAGGTAATAAAACAAAGAATTATGGGGAATGATGTCAATTCATTACATGTCAGATCGTTTTGCTTGATTAGTTTTTTTTAAAACCTTATTTTAAAATATTTGAATTATTGTCATAATAAACTAGCTATCAAATCACGATAGTGAGAAGAAAATGCATAACAGTTTCTTTTTTGGATACAAAAGTTTGGCTTGAGATGTTTGATTGCTTTGGTAAATTTGATAAGAACAGAATTCAACTAACGATTGATAATGCTGCAAGATTCCATTCTATTAAATTGATGTCCGAAGTAACAGAGAGAGATGTTTTACAGTAGCACTCACTACTGCTCTAAACCTTTAATCTCATTGACTTGAGACTTTTCGGAATATGTTCTCAGAATCGAACGTAGGCGCTTGTTTTATTGTCCTACCGATGTAACTGCTCTGGGGCAGGTACATGTCAGTTAGTGAACACAGTTGAGAGTACCATGAAAGGATTTGATATGACTCCGAATCAATATCAATAATTCAGACATATCCATTATTTATCTCCTACTAATATTCCAAGCTTCATTATCAATTCATAATTCTTACTCTTTAAGTTTATTCATTTTTTTTATGAACTACAGTTTCTAATAGTTAATCTTTCTCACTTCAACTGCTATTTATATTATTTTGATCACTTTATTATTTGTCTTGTTTATTTCATCTCATGATATTAATGTGCTTATCTGTACCGTTGAAGATCAACAGTCTATATACGTTTTTGTATATTAGATTGTTAGGGATGTTAGAGACTCAGAATTCACTCGGAAAGTTCTTAATTTTGTAATTTTATTTTGAGATTTTGAATTCCCATGTTTTCGTGCCAGTTGACCTTCAGCTCACATTCTTGCCTCGGAAAATCGTTGACTGTCATTGGTCGATGTATTATTTTAGTACGGTATTTTGTGGCTCTCACAAAGGGCGTTTCTATCATGTATAAATAAACTCGATTTTTGTGCTTGTTAACCTCGTATTTTCTTGGTGCTTGTAGAATACACTCTCTACGCCTTATCAAGACTTCTTATTATATTTAGCCGGAGCTAGGACAAACGGATTAAAATAGCCTATAATGTCACTGCATTGCTGATCTTTGTTCTGTTTACCAAGTAAGGTGAACTCGTAATAGCATTCCAGCATATCAACTGACAAACATATCAAACATCATTTCCATTTCCTGCATACAGAGATTTGTTTGTTAACATTTCATCCTGTTGTTATGACTCAACAAGCAACAGATTTAAAAACTAGAATTCTTTGATGAAATATTGTTGGACTGACCTAATAATCACTGTTTGATTCCACGAATCATCTCTTTAAGACACTAGTAACATTCACAAACACAACTTAGCTAATACCATCATGATAGTTTGATTAAATTTTGATTTGAGGATGATGTTTAAAAATAATTCTCAACAATATGAAATAGTCAAATTAACCATATTGTATCAGTAAAAACTATTCGAAACTACATTAAATACACATATCGATCATCGGATATCTTTGAAATATTGTGTGGTGTGATAATTTACTGCGTGTTCTTAAGCTCGGTAATTAACTTGTCCAGACAGTCGTTACTAAATAGCATCTGACGATTTATAAATCAGAAGATGAATTCGTAGTGATGAATACATTTATTCAGAACACATCACAAAGCGAAGCGGAGAAGCTGTGAATAAAACGAAGGAAGCGAATGGATAGGCGAAGCGCGTTGGAGAAGGCAAAGAGCCAACTCAAAGAGATAGAACATGACTAAGAATATATAGTCAGACAAAGATAAAGCAGACATATGACAAGCGAAATAGGCATGCACACACATGAATAAAAGCGACGAATGATTGACAAGGTCAAATGACAAGTGGGACATGTCATGTGAGCTCATACAAACCCGACAATCATAAGAACGAATGGTACATATAAGTTGTTGCAATACAAATGGCTTGGTTAAATAAATTAATCGAAAGGGCTTAACCAAGTTAGATGTAAGCGAACTGGAATATATGTGGAGGCACTACATATGTATATTTACTTAAAATCAATAACCGCATAAACTTTAAACCAATCCCTCACACTCAAAAATGTACAGAAGAGTAAGTAACAACATCCTATAACATGAACTATTATTCCTGCAAATCGAAACAAAATCAATCAATCCATAGTCAGAATTTATCATCACATTTCATTATCTAATCTCATCAAATAACTAATGATTCGAACTTACATAATAGAATCGCTATGATCATCTTCTCATCTATGATTGTTTAAGGAAAAATTAATGAGAAATATATACAATAACAATCATCAAAATATAGACTAATTTGATTACAACAAAATACTTATATTTCTGTCATTCTTACTCAGTTTTTACTCTTACCTACAACTACTACTACTGCTTGCTATTCATACTATTATTAATGTTAGCAATATTACTTTATATACTATCATTATTAATATGAATAAAACTAATCATATTATTATTATTATTATTATTATTATTATTATTATTGAACATTGATCAATGAAAATTTCTTCACCAATGAATGCACTCTTTTATATATATATTTTTTTTTTCATCACGCATTTCTCTATCGTTTGTGTTTTAATTATGTTTTTCTGCCTACTTTCCAGTATGATTTTGTTCCAATTACGATGATTGTAGTCTGATGTAGTTATCTTTTTGCCTCTATGTATTACAACTATTATAATCGTCTATTTGTGTGTGTCTGTGTGTACGTGTGTGTGTGTTTGTGTGCATTTAAGCGAAACAAACTTATTAGTTGCCTAGTTAAATAAAAGGGAGAGAGAGAGAGAGACAGGGAGATAATATCGTTTAATATGTTTTGTGATAAAACAAAATTACATTTGATTGTTACGATCTTGCATAATGATGAATTTGTTAAAATGGACAATGCAAAAAAAAGAAGAAAGATGTAGACATTTGCGAAGATTTATTTAAAACAATAAATCCCTTTTATATAAATTTTGATTGAACAGTGAGAAAATGTAATTGATCGGAAAAATATTATGATTTATTTGTGCGCTATACACATTTTGAACAATCTAGTCACACATATGTATACTCGTCAAGGCATTTTATATGATATAATGATCATAATAAAAGGTCAATTAAGTAAAAGTTCAAATAGACAAGGTGATCATTGTAAAA